TGTGCTAAGCTACCCCTTCAGTTTTGTCATCTGCAAATTACATGTTACGTGGGCTGGCTATGCCTTTATCAAGGTCTTCAATCAACAAGCATTTATTATGCACTGATTATGTGTCAGGAATGGTACCAGGTGTTGGAGATACTAAGACAAAAGCAAAAGAGTACCTGCCCTTAAGAAGCTTACATTCTACTAGAGGAAATTTCATGGAAGATTGAGAAAAGCTTCTTGTAGGAGTAGCCCTTGAGCTAAACTTTGAAGGAAGCTGTGGATTCTTAGGAGGTGGAGATGTGGAAGAAGTACATGCCAGGCAATGGGGACAGCCTATGCAAAGGCAGGAAGATAGGATGTCAGGCACAAGGAATTGCAAGTAGGCCAGTCTGGGTAGATCACTGAAAGAAGCCTTTAAAAAGGCAGGCTGGAACTAACCTAGGAAGCTCTTTAAATGCCAAACTTCATCTGAGAGGCAATAGGGAGCCAGTAGAGGTTTTTGAGCAGGGGAAGAAATGGTTTTGATTCTACTTTAGCATTATCACTTGGACAGCTGTATGGAGAACTGATTGGAGAAGGGAACAACTTGAGGCAAGGAGGCCAATTAAGAAGCTATTGCAAGGGGCAGCTAGGTGGTGCAGTGGATAGAGTTCAGGAGGACCTGAGTTCAAATCTGACCTCAGACTCAACACTTGACACGTACTAGCTATGTGACCTTGGGCAAGTCACTTAACCCCGACTGCCTCACTAAAAAAAAAAAAAAGAAGCAGCAGCTATTACAATAATACAGGTGAGAAATGATAAGAATCTGAATCAAGGTGGTTGTGGTATGAATGGAGATAGAGGGATATTGTGAAGGTAGAATCAGCAAGACTTGGCAACTGACTGGACATGGGAGTGAGGGAGCATGAAGACAGGGTGAATCTGAGGCTGTGAACCCAGGTGACAAGAGGGATGGTGATGCTATTGACAAGGAACAGGGAAATGCAGAACAATAGTGGACGTGGGGGAAAAATAATGATTTCTGCTTGACAAGAATGTTAACATACACGGGTCAAAGCACAGATTCTTGGAGCACTCCACTGCAGAGTTCTTTCCAAGTTGACCTTAAGCCATTACTCTATGGATCTGGTGATTCAACCAGTTACAAATCCAGCCCTCCTCCAATCAATAAACATTTACTAAGCATCTACTACGTGCCAGGCACTGTGCTAAACACTGGGGATACAAAAAGAGGTAAAAGTAGTCCTTGTCCTCAAGGGGCAATCTGTCCAAAAAGCTTAAAAATCCACCTAAGTAACTGGACAGGTTGAGCCTGAAGAGAAGAGTGGGGACATGAGAGCTGCCTTCAAATATCTGAAGAGCCACCACGTCAAGGAAAAACCAGACTGATTTTGTTTGGACCCAGAGAGCAGAACCAGAGGCAATGGGTGGAAGCTGCAAAGAGGCAAGTTTAGATCTGACACCAGGAAAAACTTCCTAACAATTAAAGCTGTCCAAAAGTGGAACGGGCAGCCTTGAGAGATGTTCTTCAGGCAAAGGTTGGATGGATACCTGCTGAGTATGTTACAGTAGAGATTCTTTTCGTGCATGGGTTGACTAGATGGCCAAGTAATGTGGTTTTGTAACTGTACTCCTGTCACTTCACACTGTCCACAAGAATCATATCACGTACCTTGCTGAAATCCAAGTAAACTAAACCTATAGCACTCTCCCAGTCTGTTAATCTAGCAGGGCAGAGACTAGACCAAGAACTGCACTGGTTTAGGGAGCTCCTGGTGAAGGCTTTCTTCTACCACAGCAGGTCAGCACTTCCTCTGCAGCTCAGGGAGTCACCTGGGCCCTGAGAGAGGAAGGGACTTGCTCAGGGTCCACGTGTTTGTGTCACAACAGGGCTTGGCTCAGAGATCTACTTTCCATCCACTATGCCACACAGCCTCTCTAGCAATGGGAAGAAAATGAGATTAGTCCAATGGGACCATGGTGGCTCTTTATGATCGCTGCTTCCTGTTCTAGATTTCACTAACCATCCCTTTAATAAAGCTCTAGAATTTTGAATGGAATCAAATTTAAGCTCACTGGCCTGTTGTCTTGTTCAACAAAAACAACAGTTGTCACTGTTCTCTTCTCTTTTTTGATGAGGGGGGTATTTGCCCTTCTCCAATGCTGGAACATCTCCAGTTTTCCTCAAGTTTTCAAAGACCACTGACCATGGCTGTCAGCCCTTTCAGTACTCTAAGATGTAGTTCATCCGGGCTGGAGGCCTTAAGCTAATTAAAGGCATTCAAGTGCTCTTTTTATCTCCTTACTTATCATGGGGATCAATTCCCACTTGGCTATCTTTGTTCTATTCTTTTCAAGTCAAAGGTAATTCTCTTTGGCAAATAAAACAGAAACAAAAAAAATAAATGAGTAGCCTTGCCTTCTCTTGCCATCAGTTAATGTCCAATCATCTCCCAGGTGAGGTTAATGTGTACCAAAAGCCATTCGGCTAAGATGCTGATCTCAAAGGAGCAAATCTTTGTGAAAGCCTTGAGATCTGTGCTTTGCAGAACTTATCTAAGGCAGGCTGTCATGTTACTCTCCTCTCTTAATGCACCATTTCCTTTCCTCCAACCCTTTCCCCCTCTTTTGTCCTCTTCCTCCCCGGTGCCCTTATTTTCCTCCTGACTTCTCTCTCTTTTCTCACCCGGACCATCATAATACCCTTCATATTTAACAAAGCCCAATTTGCTTTCTGGGTTCCTCCATCTCTGAAAACAATGTCATAGGAACAAGAAAACTATCAATACCCCTAAAATCAGCTCCCTGTTCTTCACCTGTTCTGGCTTGGATATGGTCCTAACCACACTTTTATAAAGTTTCCTCTTTCCCCAAGTGGATTTTAAGTCCACTAGCGAAGAATCCTCAGACTATTTAACTTATTGTCCTGTCCACTGAATGTTTGAATTAGTCAACTTTTGCAGGCTTCTGTTGTAATAGTGACACATTCCTATAAGAAAAAGTTAGTTTACAGGCAGCTTGGGGGTACAGTACATACACTTGAGGGCTTAATCTAGAATAAAGAGGACATGAGTTCATATTTTGACTGACATTATTAGCCATGTGACCCAGGGCAAGTGACTTGACCTAACCCACAGTTTCTTCATCTGTAAAATGGGAGTAATAATACTATATACCTCCTGGGGTTATTGTGAGGATCATATAAAATAACATGTTTAAAGCACATTGTGAAATCTTAAAACACTATGTAAAATGTTATCTATTATTATTTTTTTTCCTTCATAGGATGTCCTCATCCAAATCAGTCCAAGCATTTTATTAACATGACTATTATTTATTAATTCATTTGGGCCTGCAGTGTTAAAATTTAAGGGTCTGGGGTAAGATTTTGCTCTCTGTTTTGTATGTTTATTCGACTATTTTTGTTGATGGCCTACAAAATGCAAAAAAAAAAAAAAAGTTAAAATAATTAACTCATGGATCCACAGAAAAAACTTTCAGCTTTAAGGCAATTCTATGATGAAAAATACAAAATACTTAACTTACTTATTCAGGTTTATTCCTCAATGAAACTATACTGGGATATGCAGAAGTGAGAAGCTGAAGGCTGGAGAAGCAGCAACAGCAGAAGTTATGGCAATGGGCTGAGATTCTGCTTTCTCCACAAGAAGCTGGAGCAATGAGGGGCCTGGTAAGCCCCAGAACAGTAACAGCTTAAGGTCGCTCAAATGTAGAAAACAGAGAGAGGAAACCCACTTGCCATCTCTGATTTAGGTATCTTGGGCAGACTGATAGGACTAATTTGGCATTTGAAAACAGCAAACTTTCATAAAATGTTTAAATGAGTAAATAGTATAACAACAGGCAGCTGCAATAATAAGGTGGCAACACGGCAGCGATCTGTAACTTGTTCTATGGATGGGTGTGTCTGTGTGTGACAAACTGAGAAGCAACACGGAGCAGCACACAGCCAGCCTTGAGGCCAGGAAGTGGGTTCCAGTCCTGTCTCTGACACTCACTGTTTGTATGACCCAGGAAAAGTCCTTCTCGGTGCTCTTGGCAACTCTCTAAGACAACAGAATGCAAAGAATGTGCCCACCTGCCCTGTAGAAACAGCTTCCTTACCTGGGAGTTCCCTGTACCAATGAAATCACAGGTCCACAGTCCCTGTCCCTGTATACCTCATTCCCACTTTCATCACACAGCTTCTGGTAAAGTCAGGCCAGCTACCCTGTGGCCAACAGGCTCTGTGCTGTGAATCAAGCATCTGAACTCATTACATGGGCAATGCTGGTGCCCCATGGCTTAGAATCATCCAGAGAAATTATCACCAGGGATACTGATGAAAAAGGCCATATTTGTCTGATATTATAATTGATCAAAAATGTAGTCTCCAAGATCATTTAAAAAAAGCAAACCCTAAAGCCCCAGTCGGTGTTCAATGCCACTGCAGCTTTCTTCATGACTGGGTTCCCCAGGTCCTGACCAGCTGATGTTCTCAGATGCTCCTGGCTCTGCCTCTCTACCTCCAGAAGAGCTTGGACCTGGGTCCCACAGTGTCTGACTTCGCTGTCGTCACCTCCCCCCACTCAGCAGCTAGCAGGCCATCCCAACAAGGTCTAGCTTACAGTTTCAAGATTCTTCTGGAGTTCTAGCAGTTTGACTTTGGCCTCCTGGTATTTCTTGCAGAGCATACACAGTTCATACATCTCCATCATCAACAGCAAAGTGGAATCCTTTGAAGAAGAGAGTGAAAAGAGAATAATATTGAGGCTAAAAAGAAGATATATCCTTCACCACCATCTCCCGTTCCCCACCCCTGGGGATAATGCTAAAAAGAATAAATGTCATGTTTAACGTCATGTTTCATTTTCCTTTGGGAATACAGAAATTTGGAACTAGAACTCCCACACATTCAACTCTCAATTTTCTATCTGTTTTATGTGTGGTCCATGGCCCACAAAGTAGGGTTTGGAATATTCTACAAGGCAATCATATCTGCCATGATCACCTCTAGGAAACATTCTTATCCATTCCCTGATAACCTGTTTCTATTGAAAGATCTACATACTGTTAGCTGCATGAATCTGTATTTTCCTCTCACTTCTTGTAGTGTTGCCTGATTTATTAGTTCAAGGAAAATCAGATCACGAGCCTAGAATAGGAGTAATGGAAAAATAGGATCCCCAAAGCCTGTCTGGGGCAATGCCAGGCAGGTGCTCTTCCGAAGCCTGAATACACCAAACTGACAGTCAGTACCTTCAGAAAAAGCTGGAAGCTTCTGGTAAGAGTTCTGCTCTTTTTTCTTGTTACCAACATTCTCCATATAAGTGAAAGGTCCTCCAGATCCCATTCATGGTCTTCTACAGAACCCTGAATGTGACTTGTTGCTTCAGCAGCGACACGATTGTCCACAGAAGTGATGATCCAAACACTCAGGCAAGGAACAATATTAGCATCCTGTCAATGGACAAGAACAGTTTTAAAATAAAGCCAGTTTGCGCCTAGACTATCTAACAGACCTGGATAAAGACTCAAAAGAAAATCTTACATCTTACACCATGATGACTGAAGTTTCTAGCTCATGATGTGCAGAATGGACCCAAGCTTACTAAACTGATAGGAAAAGTCTTTAAAGACAAAATGAGCTCCAAACCACGGCCAGGGCATGCCAAGGGTGTCAGGAGCTGTATGGGAGCAGGGTACAATGAGACAGAAAACTGGGGACATAAGAGAAGAGAATTAGCAAGGTTGACGACAGTGGATTCCTCTCTCCTTTTCAGGGCCCATTCAGCATGTCCATCACTGATGAAGTGTCTAGCTCACAGGTGGGTCAGGGAAGCTTATAAAAGGCGGGGGTCCTAAGAGGGCAGGACCAGAGCAGATATCCCTGGACCAGAATCAAAAGCTGAGCAGAAGTGGCTGTTGTGCCTTCAAAGTACTGTGGCCCAGTGAATACAGAGGACAGACAACAATGCCACTGAAGCCAGTGAGACTTTTCCTGTTAAAACAAGGCTGAGAGTGCCCTGAGAAAGGAAAGGAAAATTCATTCCTTTTTTTTTTTTCTTAAAAAAGAAAATTGCTCTTAGTATCATCACCTTCCTTCCATTTTGCTGAGACTGTGTGTCCTACTGACCTTGAAACAAGAGGCCAGGATGCTCAGGATGGGAGCCCGTTGTCTCATGGCTTCAGTCAGAAGGTAACGCCAGGAATCTGGCTCCTCAGGACACTGAAGCAGAATCTGAAATAAATCAGTGGATGTCCCTTCTTGTCTCCTCTGAGCCTCCCATAGGGGTCTGTCACAAGCCTGTCTATCATGTGCTTTGGAGTTTGGAAATGAAGGCAAATTCTCAAAGGCCAGCTGTAAGTGGTCCTGCAGGACTGGGCTGAAGTAGCGGAGGAGAGACCTGACCTAGAAAACATAAATTAACTGATTTAGACAAATATAATTTTCAGCTCCAAAACAGAGAAAAGCTATGAAAAGGGGAAAAAAAACCAAAACAGTCACTAAACAATTCTCTTTCACACTAACCTGTGTCAGGGGAGATCACATAATTCTCCAATTTGACAGTTTTGGGCTTTCAGATGTATGTACCCCAATATTCAAATGACTTATTTTCAGCCACAAATACTCTTTAGCTCTAAAAACTAGCCCCTTCTCTTAATCCCACTCACTTAATTTTTAAAAAGTTATATGATGCTTTTTGTTTTTATATCATAGACATTTTTGAACCAACCTCTACCACCACTGCAAAAACTGAACCTGGTAACCAAAGAAAGCTCGTTATAAGGAAAAAAAATCAGTTAAATGCTCATATCTGATAATATGTGCAAAGTTCAACCATCATAGCTCTCTGTCTCTCTGCCAAGAGAAGGGAGATAGGTTTCATTTTTGTTCTCCAGGACCATCACTGGTTTTCACATGCTTGGATCAATCTTCTTTAATGGATTTTTTCATTTATATTGTAGACATCACTATTTATCATAGAAACTCAGAGTAGATTAGGCCCTCAGGGACCCCTTAGACCAACTCCCATCTGAAGAAAGAATCTCTTTTATAGCATTCCCCAAAAGTGATCACTCTTTGTTTGAAGACCTTCAACAAGGAAGAAACTACTTTTAGATAGCTCTTTGCTGATATATGTCACCTCACAACTCCCACCCTCTGTTCCTAGTTCTTACTTGTAGAGCCAAGAAGAACAAGTACAATTCCTCTTCCATTTGATAGCCCTTAAAATACTTAAAAGACAGCTATTATCCCCCACTCTTCTCTTCTCGCAGCTAACCATGCTAACTCCCTTCAATTGGTCACCATGCACATGGCAGGATTCTGAGGCCCTTCCAACCAAGCTACTCTCCGCTGGAGATCTTCCAGATCATTAATGTTTTTCTTAAACTGTAGGGCCTAGAAAAAAGGAACACACTCCTGCAGATGTCGTCTGACCAGCTCTATCACCTCCCCAGCTGGCCTATTTAATCCAACAGAATCTAGGTAATGATATTACCGCAAACAAAAGTTTAATAATCTACACAAAACAAATGACCCTTCTGAACCTCTAAGAAAAATACCCATTTTCTAATGTAAAAAATCTGAGGGTGCTCAGTAGCTTACTCACCTCCTCCAGGGGGTAGCTGTGGAGCTGGCTGTACACAATAAACTGCAGCCAGTCATTGGCTCTAGAACACTCCCTGAGGTAAGCGGTGCTCAGTCTCACATTATGAAGCCTGCAGAACTGCACCACCAATGACCACTGGTGGCCTGATTCGCTGGAGGTCCTGACATTAAAAACAGAAAAAATTAAAACTTAGAAGACCACTATAGTTTGAAACTGACAAATTAATAAAAACTTACAAACTTCAAGGGCCTGTAATGACATGTTCAGCCCAAAGGACTGAGAAACTACTCAGTAGAAGTGAATCCAGGCTGCTGCTCAACCACTAACAAGCCTTGTGGATAAATAGCAAGTACAAGTCTATAATTTTTTGTTGCCACTGGACTCCCCCACTACATAATGCACCAAGCACTTACTAAGTGCTTACTATATGCTGTTAGAGTATGTACTGTACTAGGTATACATATGCACCACAGAGGCACAGAACTGGAACACTAGGGCCAAGCAAGAAAAGTGAGCTTTAATGATCAAAAGTTGGAAGTCAAAGCTTCTCAGATACCAAGTAGGGAGAGCCAGGGGCTATGATATGGGACACCTGGGGCTCTCAAAGGAAGGCTGCTAGTGTCTGCTGCTTCACAGGGAAGATAATCCTCTCCCAAGGACAAGAGCTGGATGGCACTCTTGTTACATCATCAAACACACTCCTAGACATACACAGAAAAAAAACAGACTTTCTCCACGTACAGTGTAAGCAGTATAAATTACTAGTGCCCAGAGGAGCCCAATGGGTTATAGTTGGCAAGCTGGTTTCCTTGTCCATGCTCTGAGATGCTGCTCATCCCCAGAGGAGACACATTTTCCTATGTATGGAAAGGGTTAGGAAGAGAGAAAGTGGGCAGGTTTAACTATGGAAGAATCAGACTCACTGGGGTCACAGTGCAGGAACCTGAATTTAAGACGTTGGGGAAAGGAAAGGGCTCACTAGCTCAGGCTCTCAGAATGATTTAACTGTGATCTAACAGGCAGAATCAGAGCAAGGCCTAAAGAAATCGACTTGATAGCCAATTGGTTCCTCTTTTCAGGCCGCTTGAAGTGTGACACTTGAAAAGCATTCATTCAGTTTGGATTATTCCATCTAGGAAGAGGCAAGAGGCTATCCTTCATCACAAGGGTGATGTGAGAATTAATGAGAACACCTGAGGTGGTCTGAATTCTTTAGAAAAAAAGCTAGATAAACACAAATCAGCACAATCACTGCTTAAAAAAACAAAAACAGCACTGAAACACAACACACAAACCTCGATATTCCTTGTTGTTGAATACTATCCCATATGCCTTCTTCTAAAAGACTAAGCAATTCTTCAGTTGATGCTTTTCTGCCATTAGCCAGTTTAACTAGTTTTTCAGCTGTAAAAAATACAATTAAAACATAGTATAGCATAGAGATCCTCCCAGGAAACAGTACTTTCAAATTTCAAAGCAGCAGTCATAAATTTGGAACTGGCTAAAAAAGAGAGAAGTAGATCAGCGCATCAGAACAGACAACGAAGAATCAGAAACAATGGAACTCAACAACCCAGTGGTCAATAAATCCCAAAACATAAATTAGTTAGGAAAGAATTTCCAATAACAGAAAATAATATGTACAATAACTACAATAATATGAATAGAAAGAACTACTACCATAAAATAATTAAGAATTAATGTTGCAAAATTACCAAAAAAAATATGGCCCCCCCCAAACTCCCCCACCTCCTTTGTAAATGGAGGAGGTCCACAGATGTGTAACATTGCATATTTTCAGATTTTTTCAATGTACCGATTTGTTTTGTTCATTTTTTTTTCGTCTTTCTTGTTTTCTTTAAAAAATGTGGTGTTATATAGGATGGCTCTCTGAGAGGGGAAAGGGAGAGAAATAGTGGGAGAATTCTAGGTGATGGAAAAACAAAAGATAGTAACAAAAATTTATTTTTAAATAAATGGACAAAAAAGAGATTTCCTCAGGAGAACATAAATTTCTATTTATAATATGTTACAATACCACTCGTGAACTCAAGTTAATGAAGAATCCTAGAAAATGAGGTAAAGCAGCAACTCATCTGCATCCCCCCATGACAAGTTCCTGATTCAATAACTCAAATAAGTACCTTTCCAACTGCACAAAGTGGTCTAAATACAGAAAGGATACCTTACCTAGGGATTCTCTGATGCAGTTGTACTGAGTCTCTTCATTTCTACACTTATAGCTCAAAATGATGTTGGCTACTTTCATATCAACTCTAAGCTTGAGGCTGTCAATACCAAGCAATTCCAAGAAACACACACAAGCTGCCCCTACTGAAGGCATATGAAAGAGGGAAAGTGCCAACATGTAGGCTTCGTTTCCTACTTGCTGGATCCTGAAACAGAGAACAGGAGCCAAAATCAGAACAGCACACCAGAGATCATGACCACTGAGGACACTGGTTCTCAAACATTTCTGCTCATGGCACATTATGATGCTCTGCAAAGTATGAGTCAGAAGACTCAACCATGCACATGTGAATGCAAGGGTAAGTTCCATACAATTCACAGCACACCTTTTGAAATCCACTGATTTAACGTAAGCACATAGAGGGTTCTCAGTGGTGTCTAAGATGGAAGGCAGTATGGTGCAGTGGAAAGAATACTGGCTTCGGAATCAGATGACTTGGGTTCAAATCCCAGATCTGGCACTTGCTACCTTCATGACCTAGGAAAGTCATTTAACTCACTGGGCCTCAGTTTATTTATCTGTAAAATCAGAGGTGTGGGAGGATTAGGCTAAATGAGGTCCTTTCCAGCCCTAAATCTACGATCCTGTGGCTGCCAATCCTAAGCAATCATGGATGTTCTTCAGTTGTCTTTCAGTTGTGTCTGACTCTGTGGGATCTCATTTGGGGTTTCCGTGGCAAAGACACTGGAATGGTTTGCCTTTACCTTCTCCAGCTCATTTTACAAATAAGGAACTGAGACAAACAGAGTTAAATGACTTGCCCACGGTCACACAGTTAGTAAGTGTCTGAACTCACAAAGTTGTGTCTTTCTGACTCCAGGCCCGGCACTCTACCCACTTCACCAACCAGCAGCTGCCAGCCATAGCACAAGTAAGAATAGTTGGTCTTTAGCATTTTGCCCACTTCATTTCCTTGCAACTGTCTTCTGAATGTCTTAAAGAGTTCTTCTAAACCCAATAGCCTGTCATCTCTTCCTTCCACACAGGAGAAACAAGAGTTAGCACCCTTATATCCAATGACTGAAAAATTGCTCATCCTTGGTCCAAGATCGTGTTTGTATGCTACAGCCATAAAGAAGACTGATACTGGGGCAGCTGGGTGATGCAGTGGATAAAGCACCAGGCCTGGAGTCAGGAGGACTTGAATTCAAATCCGACCCCAAACACTTAACACTCACTAGCTGTGCGACCCTGGGCAAGTCACTTAAACTCATTGCCTAGCCAAAAAAAAAAAAAAAAAAAAAAGACTGATACTGAAGTCTATTAGGAAGTTTATTTCTTTTTTCTTTTTTTTTTTGGTGAGGCAACTGGAGTTAAGTGACTTGCCCAGAGTCACACAGCTAATGAGTGTTATGTGTCTGAGATCAGATTTGAACTCAGGTTCTCCTGACTCCAGGGCCAGTGCTCTATCCACTGTGCCACCTAGCTGCCCCAGAAGTTTATTTCAAAAGTCATTTTCTATGGTGTCCAGTAATTATCTCCAAGTAATACTCCCAATTTTATGCTCCACAGACATGAACCTCAAAATCAATAATCTTTATGTTCCACTGTAATCCCCTTACATAACTCTTTTGACATTTAACAAGTTCACTTCCTATTACTTTATACATACTCACAGTTGCTTTGGAGACTTGCTCTTCACTAATTCCTGAACAAGAAAAGTACCAAATGCAAATGATGGTCGTCCATGACGTAAATAATAAGCAAAATTTAGACGTTCCACTATAGCATATTTGTTTACAAGGTCAGGGCTAGAGAAATGAGGAAGATCACCTGAGGTATCTGAAAAAAAAAATGAGAAGAAACACTAAAGCTAATAAATCCTCACTTGAAAGGAGCAATTGTCTTGGAGGAAAAGAATGTTAATATCTCATATTTTTTCTATGCTTTGTCAAATATTTAAACTACTGACCCAGATCTCAGTCTACTAGGAATAAGCATCTCACAAACAATGACTTCAAGTTTTCTTAGCTAGGATTCTACTCTAGGATCTTGGAATGGCATTTTTTTCACAGTTCAATAAGCTCTGTTACAGGACCTCAAAATATAGTCCTCTTGGGACAGCTAGGTGGCACAGTGAATACAGCACTGGTCCTGGAGTCAGGAGGACCTGAGTTCAAATCTGACCTCAGACACATAACACTTACTAGCTGTGTGACTCTGGGCAAGTCACTTAACCCCAACTACTTCACCAAAAAAAAAAGAAAAAAAAAATATATATATATATATATATTCCTCTTCAAACTGCAACTAAAAATTTAAATTAGTTTTTAAAATATCAACTTAACTACAACATTCTATTTTTTATGAAGACTCACGGCCTAGGAAGAACAGCTCTGATTCATGTTTTAAAGTTGTCAATAAGATAGGACTCTGGTGGTTCAGCACAAATAAAAAGCTCCAAAGAAGCCACTTCCCAAAGCCTAAGCCTATTCCCTGTAACAAGGTGTGCACCAGCTGAAGTTAGTCATAGAATGGTATCTTATAGAGAGGTCATTTAACTCCATAGTAACCATGTCCTAAACTTGTCAAATCCAACACCTTGATCTGTACTCAGAAACGTATAGGCAATCACAAATGTCAAGAAGACCATAATAAGGATGCTGCCAGACAGACACCAAGAATGGCTTCAAACACTAGGAGGGGGTAGAAAAGAGCAGCAGAGAGTAGCTCATTGTGAACAAATAGCAAAGAAAAGTGGAGCAGAGAGAACAGAGCAACAGAGGACCCCAGTTTAGCAGAGAAAGCATCCCTCCCAATGACATACTCAGAGGCCCTCAGTGGCTCTGCAACAGCAGAAGCACGAGCTGCTCCAAGTAGCTGGATGGGAATTCTCATGTGTTCCTTATGTTTGTGTCCCCTATATATGCTCCCTGGTCACATATGCTCCCTACACATGTACCCCTCCAGGCACGTTCTCTGATCACAAGTATCCCTGCACGTATCTTCCACCTCACCAGGGAGGTGATAACTTGTTGCATAGTGTATCCCTTGTATAAATGGGAGGGGATAATATTTCTTGTAACTTATTTCACTGTATGTGATTAAATACTTTGGGGAAAAATAAGATAGATTGAAACAATAAATATTTGCATATGTAAATAATAATTTACATTTCTAAAACAATTTAAATTGTACAAAATGCTTTCCTCACAACAATACTGAGTTTAGTGGTCCAGATATTATTATCCCCATTTTACAGATGAAGACACTGAGGGTGAGAGAAGTTAAATGACTTGTCCTGGGGTATAAATCTGAACAAGAAGATTACAAAGAAAGAGCTAACGGAGGGAGTCCAAATCTCCATACTCATACTGTGACATCATATCCAGGCCATATGCTAGTGCAATGTCTCAGTTATCATAACTGAGTAACCTAAGATATTAAAGCCAGAAATACATGTATATAGGTACATATGTGTGCGTGCATCCACACAAATACACATCTAGGCAGAGAAGAAAGACTTTTCAGGGAACAAACAATGAAAATAGCCCTGAAGCAACAAGATAAAGACTATGCTTGGTGCCACATAAATGATCAGAACTCTGTGTGAGAAGGCTGAAGAAGTATGAAGAAGCAGTATGAGAAGTATGAAAGAGAAAGACAGGGAACAAAGAGAGAAGAAAGAAAAAGTGGAAAGTGGAGTAGAAAGAGTCCAGCCATCATTGAAGGGAGAGCAGAAGAAGCAGCTGAGAGCATGACTCAGCAGAGAAGCGCCACTGACAAGGAGACAGACAAAAACAAGAAGAACGCTGCGACCTCAGGGGCAGCATATCTGTTCAATGGCAGAAATAGCAGAAGCTCCAGAGACTGATACCAGGCCAACCAGTGAACCGTGGCTTTGGAGCCTGGGGGCCGTAGCTTCCTAGAAAGACCCAGTCTCCAGGTCAGGCCACATCACATAGTACAGGCATGTCAAATAAAGAGAGTTCATCATTCTTGTTTGGGAAGTTAAATGGAGAAGAGAGGGGAAAACACCTGAGTCCTAACATCATTGAGTGACTCAGTCCACATATTAGCATACAGTCTCAAAAGAGAATTAGTTATATGAAATAGCGATGAAACAGGGATCCCAAACTTTCTCTAAGAAAGAGGACAGAAGGTTTGCATATCTCTAACTCAATGTTCCCTGAAAGGCAAAAGATTTTTATAATCAAAGGTACCAGACTGAGCCATACATACTTTCTGATAGATGTATCCAGCACAATACACTGCATACTGTAGAATCAAAGCATTTCAGAAATGGGACCTGAGAGATAGTCTAGCTTAATTTTATAGATGAGGAACCTGAAGCTCTAAAGGAAGAAGTGACTTGCCCATGATCACAAAGCCAGTAAGCCGCGGAGCTTCTGCAATAATTCTGAAGAAAGACATGTTTGTTTAATCAAAGTTATGCTACATTCATTGCCTTGGAAATCATTTGTGCAGCTATACATACACTTTGCCTTTATTAGAAACATATAAATGATTTCCTTGTCTGTTAAATGAGAGGAATCATCTTCATGATGATGATAGATGAGCTAGCTAGCATTTAGATAGTGTCTTAAAGTTTATGAAGCACTTGACATATTATCTTATTTGATCCTCACAACACTAGCAGGGAGATGCCATTTTTACCTATTCTCTCCATTTTACAGTTTACAGAGGCTGAGAGAGGTTAAATGACTTGTCCATGGGTCACACACAGCTAGTAAGAGTCTGAGTCAGGATTCAAATTCAAATCTTCCTGAATCCAAGGCCACTGCTCTACCGAGTATGCCACTTAGATGAGCTCTTTTTAAAAGCCCCTCAGCTCTAAATCTGGCTCCCATGACCAAGGAACACACCAGGAACTTTAAAAAAGTTTCAAGGTATCTCCTAGGCCTTTTAACCCTCTGATCCAACACCACATGCATCTACAACTATAGCGACATACACACAGCTCAGTATAATGACTAATGTCTATACTAAGAAACAAAAGTTTGGTCAGTATACTCTATTATTCCTCCATAGGGCATGGAAGTGACTCTATGCTCAAGAAAGCTGTGCTAGTGACACACAAGCCTTGGGCATCCTACTGAGATGGAAGCCTTCAAAAGATGGGTCTGGTGACGGATTACATATTGACCCTCTAAAATCCGGGTTAGCTAACTTCAAGAAGGTGAATCAGAAGGTAGGTCCTAGGGGATGAATTATTTTTCTGGTCACAGCAATTCATGAAGATGATCTACTCTGGTACTTAATCTGTGTCAGGGAAAGGAGTACACAACTTAATGAAACCACTTATATTTTGCAATGCTGATACAAGTTTTGCTTAGTAAGGTAAGAAATCTCATAATAATGTTACAGATTTTCATCAAAATATGATTCAATAAACTCAGCATTTCAGTTATGTAGAAAACCCAGTTGTTTGAATTTCACTCCTGGAGACGGAGAGGTAGCATAGGTTAGTGAACAGGAGTTGCCCTTAAAGCTAGGAATACTTGAATACAAGATGCCTCTCCAACAGAGACTGACTTCATAAACTCTGGGCCAGTCATTTAACTTCCAGGTGTACCAGTCAACTCTCTACAAATGCAAAGTATAGAGAAGGTGCTGACCTGCACTGGGGGAGGGAGTTTTCTCCACCAAGGAAATCATAGGTCCAGTCCCCATCCTTGTCCTCCATGCTGTCTGATAACTGATTGGTTACTGTATTCAGTTTGTATATATGCACTGACAGCAGCCTAGCTAAGGATGAACTTGAAGCCTCAAATATTAGGTAATACATGGGTGATACAGTGGAAAAAGCACTTGACAGGGGAATCAAGAGTCCAAGGTTCTAATCTTGGCTCTGCTATTCATCAGCTGGGTAGTCTTGGGCAAGTCACTTAAATCCTCAAGGCCTCAATGTTTTCTTTTATAACAAGAAAGCTAGAAGGAAAGCACGAAAAACCCATGTGAGCCAAAACTAGGATTGGCAAGGAGCTGGCCTGGCACAAATGGGATCTTAGCAACAATGATGGATCTTGTTCGGTGCACAGGATTTTGTATATGTCCTACACTTCCCACAGTGGACAGAAGTGGGACTGCCTTTTTGCTGTTAAGATGTCAGATGAGTTCCATTATCTCAAACTAAGACTGAATCTAATGTAAGACTGTTAAGTTTCTTGAGTGCAAAAGCCATATCTTATTTATTTTTGCACCTCTCAGCATCTAACAAGGGTTTCAAACACAGCAGACACTCAATATCTATCTGATAAATTAAAGTTAACTGAGGGGCTTAGAAGATGGAAGACTGGAGCAGTCTACCACTTCATTCCTAATTCCATTTCCCTAATACTTGTGGGCCTACAAGACACACTGCCATGATCTTCCAGAAGAACCTGATTTTGGGGGTCTGTCAGTTGAAACATTAAGTATTTGGGGTAGGGGTATGAGGGTGAGAAGAGAGTCCACTCTCAATTTGTAAGTAGCCTTTTGACTTTGGTCTGAGAGATAGGAATCCTACACTCCTGGCTTATCTCTGCCAATAACTCAGTGCACGACTTTGGACAAGTCACTTAACCTCTGTTAAGCTTTGGGAGCAGGGACAATTTTATTTTTGCCTTTAGATCTCCAGCGCTTTGCATGAAATAGGTGCTTAATAAACATTTGTTGAATTTGTTGAACTGGGCCTCAGTGTCCTTATCTATATAGCATGAAGGGGTGAGACTAGAGGTCTCTAAAGCCTATTCTAGCACTAACAGACTATGATTTTGTATTTAAAAATGGAACTTACTACCAACAGGAGAAATGGAAAAGATAACAGAAGAAAAGGAGAAACAGAAGAGTAGAGTTCAGGGAATCCCCAGGAAAAGGAGAAATTTTTATGGCCTAAGGGAACTTACTCTCTACCTCCCCTGATCTCTACAGACGAAAGTGACCTTTTCCTTCTCAAATTTTCCTAGTGCCCCCTGACTAAATTGCTCATTTGCCCATCAAATTCTTCCACCTTATATCATATGTAGCTATTTACATGTTTTATCTCCTCTATTTGAGTCTCCTGAGAATAGGCCTGTGCTGCTTTTCATCTCATATCCCCAAGACCGAGAACACAAGGGCTTGTAGACAGTAGGTACTGAATAAATATTTGCTGAATTGAACTTACCAAATGTTTTCACAACTCAATCAACTACAGGATATTTTTTTCTATATGACTGAATTTCTTCTTGGAAAAAAAAATTCATGGGAAATTAGGATGGCCTTTACAGAAAATCATCTTAGAATAAATCACATCAGAATATGTCTGTATGTCTCTAAAGCAAGGGCTGCCTGTATCAACTTACCTGCAATGGCAAGAGTATTAGTGGCCTGCCAGCCAAACAGTCTGGTGGGATCAAAGGGAGACAAGGACTGAAATGGAGACAAATGGACAAATGAGAGAAAGTTAAAAATAAACAAATTCCAAAACAATACAAATACAACATTTTATAAAAGAGCTTCAGGGACAAGCTGCTTCCCTAATACTAGAGTAATTTAAAACTCTTCTCTATGGATACTTTAAGCTCCTCAAGGGGCAAGAACTGTTTTTTTCTGTCTCTGAATGCTCAGTGCCTTATACAAACTAGGCATTTAATTCCTGTGGAATTGAATTCAAGGGAATTAATTTAGGAATTGAAACACTAAGGCAAGAGAAATCTAATTCTTAGACAAAGTAATCAAAATATCATGATTTCCTAAAGGAACATAGTTCAAAAAACAGCATTAAATACATTTTTATTTTGTTTTTATAACCAAGTGTTAAAATTCCCCTTCCCAAAATACAGATTTATCACACTGCAGCTCTGCCTGTGGGAGGCAGGCATAATTATAATATAAAACTGGACTTTAGAGATGCTGTTGGGTGGGACAGGCAAGGGAATTAGTAAGACTAGGAAATATGGCCACAACAAGTATACAAGCTAAGTTGACAAGATATGTGATAAAAAGAGGGTGGAGGAAGGACAAGAAAGAAAAAGAGAAAAGAAAGCTGCCTGAGAAACCGGATAAAAAATGTGAGAGAAATGTGGCCAAGGCCAGATGGTGCAATAAGAAAGCAAAACAATAGCTAATTAAGGACAGCCAATCTAGAAAATGTGTGAGAGTGAGTTGCAGCTTCTGAGGGAAATTTGTCCAGGAAGAATGAAAAGACTGACCTACAGAAGGGGAATTTGAAAAAGAAACCAGAAGAGCAAAGAATGACTCTCCAAGGCCACAGAAAGAATAGCTTTGACCTGAAACCAAAGGGAACAAGCCAGCAAATGGAGAACAAACTGGGACATTGCCTGTGAAAGCCTATATATTAAACCAAATCAACCTATTTTAAGCAGGGAGATTCTACACCAATCACTTACCCAATATATATAGTTTCCTAGATTTCTCACACTGTAGCAAAAATCAATTTTTGTTCCCTAACCAGCTTAAAGGGAACGTGAACAGTTGCAGACACAGTGAAACCAGGAGTACCAGAGAAAAACAGAAGAAAAAGATCACGGTCCCAAGAATCTGATCAAAATAGGGGAAAGGCCTACTTCCTTAAATAACAACCACAGAAAACAACCAGCAACAGAATGATAGGGAGTATCTTAATTAAGCTGGGTTTGCCATTGGCCATGAGCAGACAGGCTATTCTAACTACGTACCTGAATAAGGTGGTAGAGGGTGATATCATGGGGCAGGATACTAGGGATAAAGTACTGTGGAAAGAGTGCAGCTCTGAGCTTGGGGTAAGGAGTTAAGGCCATCTTTAGTAGCTGGGGATCCACTTTCCCCAAAGAGGTTTCCCCTTCTTCCTTCTGAACAACCTAAGTATAAATGAAAACAAATAATGGTACTTGCATTACCACCCCATCTTTCCCTTCTTAAAACCTTCAAATATCTTCCAGAATTCCTGTGAAACAATATTAGTTTAGAAACAAACATTACAGTACGCTAGGGAGGCAATACAATATAGTGAAAATAGCATTGGACTTCAGTCGGGAGATCTGGTTCAGAACCAAGATCTGCTATTAATTAGCTGTGTGGCCTTGGGCAAGTCATGTAACCTCTTTCTGGGCATTAGTTACCTCACCTATAAAATGAAGAGATGCTGATTATCTTTAAGTTCTACAATTCTTTACTATGACTTTAATTTCTGACAGGTGGTAAAGCCAAAAATGAAAAAATAAGTTAGCAACTGACACTACAGAAAGGCAGTCTGGCCCTGGGGACACAAAGCCAGCCTTGGAATCAGAAAGGCCGGGTTCAAGGCCTACCTCATAAACAAACTAACTGTGTGACCCTGAGCAAGTCACTTAACTCTTGGTGGTCCAAGCATCTCTCAGATTTTAAAGTACAGATGAGTTATCAATCTATATCTGAGAAACAAACAAACAAACAAAAAAGACCCTGTAGCTAAATAACCAAATAACCCATGTAAAATTTAGGCAAAATTCAGAATTTTTGATGTGATATGTTTTAAAACTGTAAAAATTTCCTCTAGCTAGTCCCCATTTCCACAAAGCAGACTGGGTAAATCCCCTTTGGTCATTAAGAAGAGTTTCCAAAAGCAACAGTAAATGTGGTTCCCCAAACCCCACACATAAACTATCTAAGCTTGGGGTAAGGAGTTAATGCCACAAAAAAAATACCAGTTAACTCTCAAGTCACAAGGCTTAAAAAGATTATTAGAAAACAAAATAAAGGAAAAGAAAAATGACCAAATAACATACATTATCTCTTTCAATCTAGAAAATTAAATTAGAAAACAAATTTATCAAATTTTGTGCTATATAACCTATAAAGAGACTTAAAAATTTGTGTATTTGAGTTTTCCCATTCTACTGGGGACCAGAGAAGCCAAGATATTTTTATTAGACCTAAGCTTGCTCTCAATATGCACTGGTGACAATAATATCCAATTACCTGGCTGAGGCCTCCAGAAGCATAAACTGTTGTAGCAAGGGCCAAGAGGGTATGTCCTTCCAACAGCATGCTGCTCACACTGGCTTGGTTACTGGGAATCAGTATCTGAGCATTAGCGAGACTGGCCTGGAAAATCAGTTTGGGATCTGGAAAGACAGAACATGTTTTTCTCTTTAAGAAGTAACTATCTTGGCAACAATGACAAAATATGCTAACAGCCAATGCTGAAGGGGTAGTGGGAAGGTAGGCACACTAGTGTTGTGCATTGTTGGTAGAGCTACAAATCAGTACAACCATTCTGGAAAGCAATTTAGAATTATGCAAATAAAGTGACTAAAAGGTCCATACCCTTTGACCCAGAGACGCCACTACTAGATATATATTCCCAGGAGATCACGGATAAAAAACAAAGTCCCTGCATACACTTTTAGCAGCACTTTTTCTGTAGCAAAGAATTAGAAACCAAGTAGATGTCCATCTCATAGGGAATAGTTAAACAAACAGTGGTATATGAATATAATGGAATATTATTGTGCTGTAAGAAAAAAACAAATATGAAAACTATGGAAAGATTTAAACGAACTGATGCTGAGAGAAATAAGCTGAGCCAAGAAAACAATACACACAAATGTGTATATTTGTATACATACAAACAATATAAATAGAGCAACAACTGCAAAAGTAATGGCTGAGAAGTTACAAAGAATAAGTCAGTGTGGCCCCCAAAGAAGAGATTTGAGAAGTCATCTCTTTTGCAAAGGTGAGAGGTTGAGAGATGTGAAATACTGCCTAATAATGCACTGATTCAATGTTTTGTAATCAGAATGTTTTGCAACTTTGGGATTAAAAAAAATAAAGAAAACATCAAGTACCACCACCACTGTATTAAATCAATACAAAATGTTTTTTTCCTCCTTTTTTCTATTTCTTTTAAAAATATTCTTTGTTATATGGCTCCGCAGGAGAGGGGAAGAGAAGGGCTACATTTTGCTTTATATTTTCACCTAAATTCTAATTTGGAAGTTTCTTCTTTGAAAAAAAACAAAAACAAAAACCATATAGCTATCTTTTGTTTTTAAGTTGCTTGGATTTAAAAACAAAAGATGTCAAAGAAACCATCCTAAACTAGGAATTAAGTGAAAATAATTTTTTAAAAAGCAAAATAATAATTAAAAAAAAAAGCCCTTCTCCTTAACAGGTTTATACAACAACACAGAGAACTCTATTGAAAAAGTTTACTGCAGGTTTCTCTGGGGCATATGGTCTCCCAGACCATCCCCTTTGCTGAATCTTTGGAATGACACCAGATTAACATGTTCTTCATCATCAGTACAATTACAAAGCCTAAAGTTACCTAGGTAATAAACACTATGGATTTCTTTCTGCCACAACTTAAGATCCCCAAATGATCACAAAATAGTTGAATCCCTCTAAATGTTGATTAGATCATCCTTTGGATGGATCAGAGGAATGTTGAAGCAGAGGAAAGAAGAGATGGCTCCTCTTTTTGAGTAAAGATACTCTACACTCAAAAATAACTTAGGCCTCATAGGTTTTATTATTTAAAAAAAAAAAAGAAGAAGAAAAAGAAGAAGAATAGGGAGAGGAGTGCAGAGAGAACAGGTTACTTTAGAGACAGAATAAATACCAACTCTGTTCCACAAGTAGCCTGGTTTCTTTCTGCCCAGGAGTAGAGTTAACACTTTTTGGTCTTCTAAACAGAAACAACCTGCACCCTACACAAGGATAAACCCTGAAGGATGATGAGTTTGCCTCTCGTCAAATGAGCTCAGTAGTAAAGGAAATCACTGCAGAGGTCTGAAGTAGAGGATTACAGATATGGAATATTACATATACTGTCAGACAAGGTCAATATGTAAATTTTGTAGAATTGTTCTTTTTTTTCCCTTCAAAAAAATCTATTGATATCTTTTGTTTTCCAACACCTTAATTTCTGTATGTCTCTCTCCTCTTCTATATTCAGGGAGAAAAGAAGAAGCGGGAGAGAAAAAGAGAAGAGAAAAGAAAGGAAAATAATCTCTTTAAAAAATTTTGTTACAAGGGATGGTTTTTGGGGAAAGAAGGAAGACATACATACGGAAATGAAGATGATGAAAAAACAAAAGCTATCAACAAAAATAAGATAAATATTTTTAAAGTAAAGGATCTCCAAAGCCTTCTTGTTTAATAGACTCCTACCTGCCAGATTACTGGAAATTTGTCGACACCGAACCAAAAATTCAAACCAAGGATAAGTTTCATGCAGTTCTTTTTTCTCCAAAAGGGGACAATTCAAAGGATTAAGGCTAAAAATAAAAATGACAATGATTAGCATGATGTACACATGTGATGTATTACAGATACATATGCTCAGATAATATGTTGGAAAAGGAAAACTATATATTACCACCACTGTATTCAATTGTGTTTTACACATACCTCATATTCCATAAATATTCAAAATCAATAGCTAGAGAATCCCAAAGACATACAAATGAGAGGAATGGGGAAGGAACAGGGGTTTTAGGGAACTCAAAATATTATACCAGGCTATATAGTCATCTCAAATCAAAAGGGAATTTTACCATTGAAAAAATGACACTCTACACTCAAAAACACCTTAGGCTTCATTGGTCTCATAGTAAAAAAGCAAAACTCAGAAGTTCAAAATTTGATTGACATAATTAATATCAGACCCTTTCAGTGTCCTTTCTCAATTTTTAGAGAAGACTGAAGAGTCCAAGCCCAGGACTGACTCCTGAAAGAAAACACATTTCAGTTTTCTTACCAGAAGTTAAGAAAAATTCTTCTCTAAGTAAGCCTTACTGCTAACTAGATTGCCCTAACATTAGGACCACAGTACACAAAGAGTTAAAACAATAAAACAAGTGGGTATGCCCTATTGGTTCGACATCAATCTTTACTCACCATGGATACGTGGCTCTCTGCAAATGAAACCTTTATACTAATAAGAATTTATATAAGTATAAAACAAAATTCCTGGCAAAGCTAACACAATACATCTCCTAGGACCTGCTTAACATTTATTTACTTAAAAGAGCAGAAAGTACTGGAATTTAGCTTAGCCTTTAGAAGTCTTCCTCTCTCCTTTAAAAAAAAAATCTAATTTTTTATATACTTTCTTTAATTTTTAGTTCTAACTTTTCTTTAAGGGGTTAACAGAAATATTTCTTACAAAATCAGTACTGGCAAAAACTATCTGTTAAGCTTATTTGTGCATGGCACTATGCTAAATGTAGTAGAAACAAATGGAAAACCACTTTCAGAATATCAACATCTCCTAAACGGATAGTCAACATTTCCAAAAAGTTAGTTTATGCTGAAGGAAGCATTAAGAAATGCTGCAGGACAGATCAATTACTAGTACTCACTTGTAATAATCAAGGTAGACATACAGCAGATGCTGCAGACTGCGCTCTAAACAGTATAAAAGAAAGCACGCATGGAAATCCAAACCATCTCGAGACGTATAGTTTTGAACAGGAAGTGGATTCTGCATTACACCCCCAATACGGCTTAGTCTTAGGAGCAAGAGTTCAAAGTCTTCTAGTTCAGATGTTAGGAAAATTCCATTTCTACAAAGCAAAAGAGGATCAATATGATGACAAATTAAAAAGTGTTTAGACCATATCACACTGAACAGGTTCAAAGCATTTAAAAATAGGTGTTAAGAAACAAAAGCTGCCAATACGCAGTACTACTGTATGTACAGTCTAAGCAATTTCTAAGTGGCCAGACTGATATGGAGCTGGATGGAGAGCCCACAAGGCTGGCCTATCAGTACATGGATCTTGGATAGTCCCTGAAAATGGATAGCGAATTGGGCTCAGAGTTGCAGAGCAGGAAGAAAGTGGACCAGATCACCTCAGGGAAACTGTGCAGTACTTTTACCAACCCTAAGCTTTTCCCACAAAGGCTTATCTTTTTGATAAAAATATTCTCTCAGTGATGCCATATGGTTTTGGGTCATGAGAAATCACAGATGCCCAAGAATTAAAGGGACCAATGGTGAAACACATAATAGGCACCAATGAAAAATTTTGCAGAAGTGGCCAAGGGGACATCATCAGAAAGATTAACAGAAAGGATGAAGTGGTTACATGTCAAGAGGCACAAATCACTGATGAAGAGAGCCCATATGTTTCACTAGTATTTTTTTCTTCTTCTTTTTGTTTTTTTTTGTTTTTGGTAAGGCAATCAGAATTAAGTGACTTGCCCAGGGTCACACAGCTACTAAGTGTCAAGTGTCTGAGGTAGAATTTGAACTCAGGTCCTCCTGACTCCAAGCACTGTGCCACCTAGCTGCCCCTCCACTAGTATTTTTATCAATGTTAAGAGATCCAGAGAAGGGTCTCAGAACATTGGGTACACCAGTTTAGAAGAATTTCATGAAGAAATGCATCCACATTCAATTCAGATGATCCTTCAACATTTAGTAAAGAGGAAGGGAAGGCAGGTAGGGCAACGAAAAGAGAAGCAGATGACAAGAGCATGCCTGGGTTCTACTGAGTGCTCAGGTACTAATCTGCTGTGGGACCCTAGGTGAGCCATAGCTTCTCTAAACCTCAGCTTCCTCTTTCTTAAATGAACTGATACAGAGTGAAGGATGAGGATGGCACCTCCCCTACAACTACTGCATAATATAGGGATAAAGTACAATATCATTCTACAACATATACATGTGAAAGTGCTTTGAAAAAGTTAACAAATTCCCTTAGGACCAGAGGACTGAAGGTTAACAATTGGAAGCACCTGAGAAGTCATCCAGTCCAACCCCTTCAATCTATAGTGAAGCGGAGGCCCAGAGAGTCTGTGAAGTGACTGAGCCGCAGTAACACTGATAATCACCGGTGTCCTGGATTCAAATCCAGGTGCTCCAACTCCAAATCCTATATTCTTTCCACTGCATCACGAAATTTATCTGCTTTACAATGAAAAATAAATCTTACTCATTCAGAATTTTATTGGCTTAATTGTTTTTTTCAGTACCTCTTCTGGATTTCAGAGTCAAGTGTCAGAGAGTTCCCTGCTCCTGTAAATTAGATGAGTTGGGCTTAGAGTTGACATCACAAAGTGGGCAGACAAGATCACTTTGGGCAACTACAGCACTTCCAAGAACTCTGAGCTTCTTCCTCAAATGAAGGTCTATTTTTTTTAAACAAAGTATTCTCCCAGTAATGACACAGGGTACTCAAAATGACCTAGGAGGCACATGGTAACTAAACTAGTCAGCTTTACCAAATTCCTCACTTCTGTCATTTTATACACCAACTCTGTTTTTATTTCATTTTAGTCACACAGTATAGCAAAAATATAGAAAAGAATGAAGAAATTTGAGTTCACAATACAGGGGAGTAAAATCAGGATTCTCGACCTCAACTTAACCACACAGTCCAGGAACATCTCTCTATCTAAATAAATCTTGTAGAATCCTCTCAGAAAAAAAAAAACTACATTTAAACTTTGAGAGGATATCAATTACAACATTATTATAAACACATCATGAACTGGATTCATAAAATGATTTTTTTTAACTACAAGTAAAACCTCAGTTTTACGACAGGGTAATTTTTAATTTTTAACATAATTAAATTGTAATTTTTGTAATTTTTAATGCATTTTGTTCTAAGATAACAGACAACAGGACATACAGCAGTACCGAATTGACACTATTCAAAAGAAAAAAATCATGCCTTTATCTGACACCCCAAACTTTAGTTCTGTCTCTTAACTGGAGATTCCTTTACCAGTAATAATACCTGGCCAGTTTATCTAGTATTTCATTCCTCAGGTAGCTATTGCAGCATGTATTCTGGTCAATAATATCTACTGTCAGATGGGGCCATTTAGCCTGCTGAAATGAAACACAACCATCCTGGGTCTGCAATTCTTCAATCCATGAGAAAATGCTTAACCAGTCATGGTGAGCTGTGATATGCCTCCAGAGAACTCGAGGAGAACAAGACTTCACTTCTACATACAAAAGAAATCAAAATCATTATGATTCTTCGCATAGCAATGAACTATTACTGATGCTAAACTCAATCATTCAATGACTGTTTATCTGGTTCAAATATTATTCACCACACCATTCCCTTTTCTTCCTTTTCCTTTGCTTAATTTTTGCTGCCAGAATTACCCTAAGAAGAGTCCAAACAGAGGATGTCTCTTTAACCTATTGAGTGATTCCCAGCTGCTAGAGGCCTCCCTCACAAAAAACTACCTTATATTTATTTTCAACATATATGTACACATTGTCTCTTCCAATAGAACATTAACTCCTTAAGTACTTAGCATAAAGCCTAGCACATAATAGGTGTTTAATAAATGTTTGCTGTTGGGTTAATTAGGTTATTTGATAACAAGATGATTTGTGCTTGAAAACAATTTGAAAATTGCTTTTTTAAAAAAGCAAAATTAAGATGCCCTATTATAAGTGTGAAAACACACTATGGTCTTATAGACACACACTATCCTTTCTACAAACAGTAACTCATTCAGCACATCTTATTTCCCATACTTCAAGCCATGTGACATTTACCTTCTGTAGATCTCCTGGGAAGAAGGATATTTTCTCGGGTTGGACAATCCCACCACTGCGCCCAGCTTAGTATAATTCCATGATCCTGCTTAAAAATTTCATCTTTTTCACTGAATTTCAAGAAGTCTAAAACAGATCTATGTTTGGAAAAATCATCTTCCTTTCTCCAGCTCCTGAAACTAACAGTGATTTTGGATTTATGAGAAGGAAATTTGTTCTCTTTAGCTTAAGGACATTTATAAAAAACATCCAATTCAGCATATTCAATTCAATACTATTTACTTAAAGCATCTTACATAAAGTACTCAAAGACTTGTTGACTAAATGAGTGAATGACTATAAAAACATCAAGATGAAGAACAACTCTAGAACTCCTCTAGAGATGAACACCCTTTTGGGGCATGTTTTATATGTTCATGGGGAATACAAACTTAAAATCACTGACTACAAAAAATCCTGGGTGTTGACAACAGGAGATCACATATGCTGGACAAAACCTAATTTCCTAAAACACAATGATAGTGATCATCTATTATTAACAGTGTAAGAATAGTGAAAAAATTACCCGAGGGGCTGGGTCTCTGTGTTTTCTTTGAAAGGTCCTGAATATAATTTTTCAACCTGATGTACATAGTCTATAATTCTCTTCTCTTCTTCAGAAAAATGATTTTCTTCTTTCAAAATGCCAACCTTGAATCAAATATATCCAAATTAAGTAACTGATGCTAAAAAATCAAGAACATTTCCAAGATATCTTATCATGAGGTTCACATATGCCAAATAAGAAATGTACACTGGGGGCAGCTAGGTGGTGAAGTGGATAGAGCACTGGCCCTAAAGTCAGGAGGACCTGAGTTCAAATCCAGCCTCAGACCAAACACTTGAACTTACTAGCTGTCTGACCCTGGGCAAGTCACTTAACCCCAACTGCCTTAAAAAAAAAAACACACACTGAATATGTACTGTGCCAGCCGTGCCGTGCACTCTCCTCCTATAAGGAGCAGGCTGCCAGAGTCATACTACTTACCAGTCTTCGGAGCCTACCCGGATAAACACACAGAGACGAGCCTACCAGGAGGTGCCAACACCCGAGCTTTATACAGAGGCCATCACAGCAAGGCCAAGCAGGAAGGCCAGAGCAACAGAAAAGGAGCAAAGAGAGAGCGTGCTCCCCCCGCGACCGTTCCTTAAGTACCTACTTAGCCCCTCCTCCTCAGCCTGCCTACTAGTCAATGATTGTAGGGTCAGATACCGGAAGGGGATGTCTGAGTTTAGCGCACCAAGGGAGAGGAAGTGACGCAGGAGGTTAGGACCGGATACAGGAAGGAGATGTCTGGGATTAGTGCATAGACAAAGAGTATGTGACCTAGGAAGTCAGGCCCAGACACCGGGAGGAGGCGTCTGGGGTCAGTGCTACACAAAGGGAAGGTACGTGACCCAGGAAGTCAGGAAGGACACAGGAAGGAGGCGTCTGGGGTTGACGTTGCATATAGGGAGGGGACTAAGCAAAGGGAACTCGTCATCTGCCATCTTACTCCCACGTGGCACAGCCCCCTGCCTCAGAAGCACGTGCTCCGGCTACTTCCTTGTATCCTGATCCTTCCCCAGCTTATTTCACATAGCACTGCCCACTGCCTCAGGACTTCTCTGTATTCAGCCCATCCCAGTTCACCACAACTCCGCCTACCACAGCCCCTGCCTCGGGAGCGTTACTTCCTAATACCCAGATCCTACCCCAATCTTGCTACAACCCTCACTTGGCAGTAGCCAACATCAGACAGTCTCTCACAATGTATGCTAAAATTTAAAGTGTGTGTGCATGCATGCATGCCCTATAAGCATATAGGCAGTAACGTGAATGAAAATAAAGGGAACACATTTTACATTAACTACAATACACAGATGATTTTTTTTACCAGTACCATTCAGTGTAAGACTTATTTAACTAGGTTCCTGATATCTTCACTTACCAGAAAGTCCCGTACATTTTTCTCAGCTGTATAGAAACATATTTTGTGCAATTGGTCCTTTACGTTGAAGCCCTGCAACACAGACACACAACAAAAGGTTCTTTTTACAATCTATAATGGAAGTTCTGTGAACTTCTGTAGGCTAGATATAGGAACATTCTAGTATAGCCAGGTATCATGGCATATAGAGATGTCTTGACAGAAATAAAAAAGATCTCATTACAAAGCTCAGTGCCTTCTAAGAATTCATTCTCTTATACATTACACGTATAAACACTTATCTATCACTATGATTCCTAAGCACTTTATCAAAAGCCAGCGACAATTCAAAGGAAGATGACTTTCTATTATGCTCAAGCAGAACAGGGCTAATATGATTCACTCAGGATCAAAGGCACAGCCTAGGCCTGGCCCTCCTGCAGCTCCAAAAAGTCACCATACTAAAGGCTGCAACACGAAAGATTCAGTGAGTGTGGATCCCACCTCTAGGTCTATTCAGCCACAAGTTTACTACTCCATAGCCTCCAGAGCTTTCTCTTCCAACCACTTACTGAATATCTTCATCTGGATGTACCATCAGCAGTTCAAACTCAATATACACCCTCCCCCAAAAACAAAACAAAAAAAGAACTCATTGTATTTCCCCTAAAACCCATCCTCCTGTTCCTATCTTGGTGTCAAGGGCACCAACATACCTAGATTCCTAACCTGGGAGTCATCCTCAAGCCTCATTCATCCCACATACGCAATCACTTGCCAAGTCTTATCAGTTCATCTCAACAGTATCTCTTTCATCCATCCCCTTTTCTCTACTCATACCACAAATATCTTAATCCAAGGTCTCGGCTGAACTATTTTAACAGTCTCCTAACTGATCTCTCTTTTTCTATTCTCTTCCCCTCCCCAATCTACCCTACACAGTTGCCAAAACACTACACCTGAGGTATAAGTTAAGCTATGTCTCTCCCCTTCTCAAAAACTACCTCCAGGAAAAAATACAAAATCAGCCCTCCACAATGTAACTCCTCCTCTTCTAGACTTCTTTCATACCATCTTCCTTCACACACCCGATATTCTCCAAACACTCCATCTCTCATCTCCATGCCCATCTAAGATCTACTCCCTCCTTAGCTTCACCTTTTAAAATCACTGGCTTCCTGCAAGTTTCAGCTCAGATGCTGCGTCCTCTCCAAATGTTCCTGCTCTCCCACTTAGTGCTTTTATGATACAAGAGGCAGGGTGGTATCAAAGGAGGAGGGAGGACTAAGAATCACACAGATTTTAGATCACCTATAAATATTAGCTTAACTGTTGATATTTTAAATATAAGATCTGCTAAAGAAATTAAATTATAGTTACCTTGACATTCTCACTATGAATGAGCCCAAAAGACAAAATATGTTGCAGCTAAATGGAAGGAGGACTTACAGATTCTTCTTAAAAAGAAAATAAAGGAGTTGGCAGAGCTGCTTTTAACCACATAGCTGAAGGCCACAAACTGACCAAATGGCCTATAAAACAATGATTTTATGCTCAAAGTATCTGCAAAAGTTAAAACAATTGCTTTCTGACAGAATGACAGATTCAGGATGCAGAACGAGGCATTAAATTTTTAAACATGGACAACAGGGAATGTGCTTTGCTTGACTATGCTTATTTGTTACACAGGTTTTGTTTTCCTTTTTTTAAAAGTGTGAACAGGGAGAGAGAGAAAATAAACGCTGGTTAATAATTTTTTCAAAAAATGGTTGTTTATGCTCCAACATCTACTGCAGACGAGAAGGTAGAGAAATTCTACAAAGAATTCATTAGACCCTTCAAACTTTATTACTATATACTCTGATAATTGTTGACTTCAATGTAAAGTTGAAAAGGGAGAAAAAATTTTGAAAATATGGTTCATGCAAGAGAGGAGGAAGGGAGAAGGAGGGTGGGGAAAGAGAAGAGAGAGAAAAGAGTGGAGAGAGAGATAAAAGAGGGGAGAGAAAAAGAGAGTTGAGAGAGAGAGAAAGGTTAAAAGCTTGTAAACTACAGAGATGCTTCAAATGATCAAAGCACTAGGGCTAAAAGCAGGAGTGTGATAGAGCCAGCATCTACAGCGTCTAGCAATAGCCAAGTGTTAAATGAACTTTTCTCATTTTTAATTCAATTTCATTTTCAGTTACAAATTGTTTCTCCTCCTCTTTCCCCTCCCCTACCTACTGAGAAGGCAATAGTTGTTAAATTTTAAGTGTATTTACACCTCAGATATTTAGGCAAGCTCCACAAATAAATTATTCAATGTCTAGATTTAAGAAAATGATAGAAAAAAATATTAATAATGCAGATTAAACTTAAAAGTGTGTCAAGTACATGGCTTTTTTTTTTCCTAGAAAATCAGTTGTTACTCATTTGCCAGCACATGTTTGCCTCAAAGGCCACCTAAACCAACCCCTTCATTTTATAAATGACGAAACTAGTGGCTTGCCTAAATTCATAACTATTTAGTGGTAGAATCAAGACTAGAATCCTAATCTCCTCGCTCCCAGAAAACGGGCAGAATATGATAACACCATCAGTCTAGCAGGTTTATTCACGAAAACTCATTTTACAAAAATGTGTTTTCTCCTTAACAGCATTCCTGAGAACACTTTGTACAGATTATTTTGACTTATGACTTCCAAATAAATTTGCTATAAAAGTAGGAGAAGTGAAAAGAATTACAGAAATCTCAGAAGTAGGAAGGACCTCAAAGGTTATCTAGTCCAAACCATATGTGAATAGGCATCCCTTCTTTGTATTACACTCAGTAGCCTCCGCTTTAAGACTTTCAGTAATGTGGCACCCATTCCCCTCCGAGACAGACCATTCCACTTCTGGCCTCCTCTGTTAAGAAGTTTTTCTTTACATCAACTAGAAATCTGCCCCTCCACAACTTCTACTCCTTGCTCCCATGTCTGGCCTCTTGGGCCAGGCAGAAGAAGTGTACTCCCTCTTCCACATGCCAGTCATGACTTGACTTAAAGTCATTCCCTCTAAGTACTCTGTTCTCCAAGTTAAACACACCCAGTTCCTTCATCTGAACCTCATTGGGCATTTTCTTCAGACCTCTTATGAGCTGTTCTTATTTGTTAATGCCCTTCCTATGGTGTGGCACACAGAGTACAAGCACAATACTCAAGATGTGGTTGACCAGGAAAGAGTCCAATGGGAATAAGACTAACATCAACCTGTATATCTAAGAAATGGTTGGAAGTAAATCCAATGCTCCTCCTAGATTTACTGCCTTTAGAACCAGACAAACTGGTATAACACTCACCATATTCTTTAAGAGTTCGGTAGCTTCTTTGATATTGTTCTTTAGCAGCCTGTCAAAGACTAGATCTAATCCTATTCGAATCAGTTCTCCAAGGTTTTGAGCAGCATGGTTGGTGATCCTGAAAAAGCTCTGAGCCTCTGGTATTTTGTTATTTAAAATGGCATTGGAGATAACTTGCTGAAAGAACAAGAAAATGTTTGGGTATTTTTTTTAGTCACTACTTTTGGCCAGAATGGTTAATTTTTTAAATCTAAATGCTTTGGTATGGATTCGGGAGATCAAAAAGGTATGTACCTGTACAAAGCATGGAATGATCATGTGCCCTACCATCATTTCTCCATTCAATCTATTCTTTAGACCATTACTCCCATTGTTAGAGCTGCTCTTATATACAACCACTCTATATATACCTCTTTTGGATACCCAGCAGCTTAGTTGAGCTACTCTGACAGCAATCTTCCTAATGCTTCCAGGTAGAGAGCATCAAAGGAACTGTTTCCCATCACCACGACCTCTACTCCCTTTTCAGGTCACTCTCATTCCAAGTTAAGGTGACAACAATGTGTCTGGCTGTCCTAACTACATTTAGAAAACAAAGGCAGGGGATGTAAGGGAAGGAGAGAAGTGAAGCGATTAGCACCTGGGGCAGGGTTCAAATAGTTGCTTTACAGTCCAGTCTATGGCAACAATTCCAAATAACCAAAGGGAACTATGGGTCACTGGGGAGGGTGGGATAAGTGGAGCCTTGCTGGCATGGAAGTTTGTTATGTTTTAATTCAAAAGGAAGTACTGACGAGCTGCTAAACCATAGCTAGTGTGTGTTATTAATTTTGCAGCTCCTAGGAGAGAGCTTGTTACCGTTAAGTATTAAAGTCCCAGCCTTGGTTCAGGGATATTCTATACAATGATACAGGGAGTTTACTGGCCAAGCATCAGTATAATGGGTATCCATATTTTTAACTCCTACTTTTCCATCATTTTCCCCAACACTGTGAACTATGGGGAAAAAGTGAAAATCAAAAGTATATATTTACCTCAGGGCTGAGCTTTCTCCATATTTCACTCTCACTTATTCTGGGGACATCTTCACCAACATATGCATTTACAGCATCAGCTGGTTTCCGAGGAAATTTTATCATGAAGGTTCGAAGTTCAATAATGTAGTTGGTTAAAATATCCACACCATTCTGCAGGTGTTCATCTAACTCTATGGAAATCATCAACAAACTCATTTAATAAAAGCAAAGGCAGACCAGTAGGTACGATCTGACTTACCAGTTATGCAAAATCTGAGAGACAGAAATACCAAAACTTCTCTTTCCATCTTCTCTTACCAGTTCTGCACTTTGATAACTTTATTTTCCCTTTATGTAAAAATTGGTCCTATGTCCATTCTGCTGTTAATCTCAATGCCAGATCTTTTTTATTCACTTAAATAATAATCTACCTATGATACATGAACTTCTGTCCAACTATGATCCAAGACCTTCTTTTGGTTTATGCTCTTTCTCACTGTCAGGCCCACAAGATTTCTGAATCTGAATCCCTTAGCCTAACAGAACTGATGCAAATGAGAACAATACTTGTAACATTTACCTTCAGTGTGAGCAAAGATCTCCCTGATTTGTTTGTTGAGGAAAGATAATGTGAGCTTCAGCAGCTGCTCTGAAAAATGTTTGCTCTGAGTTTCAGAATCATTCTCTCGTATAGCTGAACAAAGCAAATCCAAAGCCGGTATCAGGTCCTTCACACCTAGGAAGAACCCAGATTAACAGTTTAAGATAAAAGATGTAGACCAGGGGCATATGAAGTAATTTAATACGCATTTTTATGCTTATGTACTCTAGCAATTGCTATTGGGTACAAAAAATATGCTATCATAAGTAACCAGGAAAGAGAAGGAATGGGAAGACAAGAAATAGACAACTTAAAGCTGGGGCCCAAATGTTCCCAAACAGGAAATGTGCCCCCCAAACATCCCAGAGAGGTAGGGACCTGATGCTATTTAACCCAAAGGAGTTAAGCATATTTATCACCACCATCTGGCAAGATTATTTAAACTAGAATACTACTATTGCCATCTTGGACTTGCGTGCACTTTTATTCAAAGAACTTAAACCCCTTCTCCATTGATCACTGTGGTTCTTTCTACTAGAAATTCTTACAAAGTAGGTATGTATGATTCTCTCCCCTTGTCAGGAAAAGGAAGCCAAAGCCTTAGGGAAGGGAGTCTAAGCCATATAACAAACAAGCAGGACAACCAGGCCCAAAATTCATATGTTAAGTCCCAAATCATGGCTTGGTAGGCATATTCCTTTCATAGGATCAACGCATACCTCAGGAGCTCTCAAGGTATTGTTTTACTTGACTTTGCTCACTTGGCCACTTTGAAAGATTATATATCCTAACTACACAACTGGAATACATAGCCAACAAAGAAAATAAAAATCTTACTTAAAATACTGACAATCGCACCTTTTGTCTCAGGTCCTTCACACAGTAATCCAAAGTGCTGAACATCCCAGGATGTTGGGACAAAGCACTTTAAAATTATGGAAAAGAATAAATGGTAAATGGCAAAGGTGAAAATCAGGATGATTCTACTCACTTTTCAAATACAAGTGAGATGGAAGCCTGGTAGTCTGGTCAGGTACAGAAGAGGTAGAAGAGGGATTGAAAAGATTCTCCTTGCTCTTCAAAAAGAAGTCTACTGTATCCAGTTGACGGTTCTCTAATCCAGCCTGAACAAAAAAAAACAATAATTTTTACAGATCTAATAATGATCAAAGGAAGGGATCACTGAGTCAAGACAAGGGATAGTTTTTTTTTAATTAATTTATTTATTTTTAGTTTTCAACATTCACTTCCACATGATTTTGAGCTCCAAATTTTCTCCCTATCTCATCCTTCCCCCCACCCCAAGATGGCATGCATTCTGAATACCCCCTCCCCTAATCTGACCTCCCTTCTATCTCTCCCCCTCTTCTCTTATCCCTTTCTGCTTCAATTTTCCTATAGGGCAGGATAGATTTCTATACCCCATTTCCTGTATATCTTATTTTCCAGTTGCATGTGAAAACACTTTTTTTTTAACTTTTGTTTTTAAAATTTTGGGTTCCAAATTTTCTCCCTTCCTCCCTCCCCACCCACCCTCATTGAGAAGGGAAGCAACTCGATACAGGTTATACATGTGTAGTCATGCAAAACACTTCCATAGTAGTCCTGTTGTAAAAAACTAAGTATATTTCCCTTAATCCTATCCCGCCCCCCATTTATTCTATTCTCTCTTCTGACTCTGTCCCTCTTTAGAAGTGTTTGCTTCTGATTACCCCCTTGCCCCATCTGCCCTCCCCTCTATCATCCCCCTGCTCTCTTGTCCCCCTCCCCTCCTATTTTCCTGTAGGGTAAGATAGATTTCCATACCCAACTTGAGTGTGTGTTATTCCTTCCTTAAGCCAAATCCGATGAGAATAAGATTCACTCATTTACCTTCCCTCGTTTCCCCTCCACTGTAAAAGCCTTTTCTTGTCTAAGACAAGAGATAGTTTTCACTCTAAAAATTTTGACACCTCATGCACTGAAAAGCCCTCTGTAAGCCATTACCTTTCATTGGGCCTGTTTCTATATCTGAAAAAATGTGGAGCTGGACTAGATTATTTCTAGGATCTCTTTTTGCACTAAAATTCAATGCATCTAAGTACACATAAAGCATCTCAAAAAGATTCTGAAAAATTAGTAGTGGTAGAATTGTTAAAGCCCACTCTTAAAGGTCTGCAAACGCAAACAGCTTATAATCTCATAAGAATATTGTAACACATAAACAAATAACTGTAATACTAGATTTAAATAAACCAGCAATGAAACAGCAAAATTATTAGCTTTAAGGTATTCTTATGAAACTGAAACCAGATTGCTGAATGGCCAAGTATACCCTTTATTAGGAAGAAAAAATTCTACATAGTATACTAACACTGAAGAGAGGGCACATAGTATAGTGGATAGAAGGCTGACCTTGGAGTCAGGAAGACCTGGGTTCAAATTTACAACAAACTATGAGACCATGGCCAAGGCACTGAATCTTTCAGTGCCCAAAACAATTCTCTAAGACTGTGAGTTATAGAAGAGTTGCCCATATGCACTGGTGTAGGCAATTTCTACACCAATGAAATCACAAGTCTGGAACAAAAAAAAAAATTGAAATGGTAAACTACTTGAGAGGTGGTGTGGCATAGAGGATAAAGAGCCAAGAAGCTTCAAGCCCTGCATTGGACACAAACTGCCTGCATGACCCTGGGCAAGTCACTTAACCTCCCACTGCTTTACTAAACTCTCTAAGACTATAATTTGCAGACATCTGCATTGATGGAGCTAATTTCCTCACCTGGGAGTTCCCCATACCCATAAAGCCAGAGATCCAGTTTCTATCTACTCTATCCTTTTAAACAACTTACAATAGCCATATTTATCAACAAACTATCTATCAACTAAAAGTAGGTGACCTCATATGTAGTCCTTACTTGGCTAGAATAGAAAGGTAATGAAAAGAAAGAAGGGAGCAGTGAATGTGTCCTGTCCTTCACTGTTTCCACTTCCTTTGCTTTTTATCATCTACTTCGCATATCATAACTTTTAAAGCAAGAATTTTCAGTTCTGTAGAATTAAAAGTAATTGGTAGTAGGAAGGAATTAAATAGATATATGTCAAAATTAGAGTCTTTTTAGCTGCTTATGTTTGATGAATGCCCCATATATTCACATGAACTGAATATCTGATAGAGTTCAATCAAGCAAGTTCTACAAAGGTCTGACATAAAGGCTCTGCTATGACTCAGTCAAGGTTACCTCTAATGCATGTATAGGGATTGAGCACCTCCCCCACGCATTAAGATGACAGAGAGTATCAACAGTGCTGGCACTTCCATGGATCATTAGTCTATTCAAGAATTCTTCTTGAGTCAAACCAAACAAAATCAGAGAGAGTCCATTTTCTATTAAAAATAAAAACAGATACATTAGCATTAATAAGCAAGGTTTCTAATCAACAGATATTTCAATAATAATCAACACTGAAACTGCTATGTATAAGACAGTGTTAAACACTAATGAATTTAAGTCACTCAGCAATCTGGTTTACAATATTTTTGGAAGAAAATTATTCTTAAATCATACCATAAAAAGAATATAACCAAGAGATGAGTTCTTGTCATCACAAATGTCTCTTATTAAACTGCATTGCCTTTCATATATCTACTTTATATTATCTTGTAGAATGAATGACTAAAATATTAAGATATTTATACAAATACTGGATTTCCAAGTTTACTGAAAGAAAAACATTTAAACACTTATTGGCATAATCATATATCCCCATCACCTGCTACAATGCTCGCTATATAGTAGGTAGTTAATAAATGTTTGTTGTATTGTATAATTCTAATCCACAGGAATTTGTAGTTTCCAAATATAGGCACATGGGAGGGCAACCATGGCAGTACAACCAAAACATTTGGTGGCATATTTGTACTCTAGACATCATCTGAAAACTGGCTGCCTTTGTATCCAACAGAAGTTTTGGTCATTCAATAGAACACATCCAACTTGTCTTATCACAAAACGCCATATGCCAAGGACAGCAGAATTAAAAAGTACTAACAGTCTCTTGAATGGTCTTAGACGCTGACTAGGGTTTCATAACCCTAGTCCTAGTGTTAGTAGCTACTGCATAAAGATAGATACAGACTGAAATCAAAATTTAAAAAATCATAAAGCCCAGCTGGGGATCCACCCCCATCATCTTTATTACTATTAATTTTCTCAGATTTTATGTCTTAGCTTTCAGCTGAGCAGAAACCATCTTAATAAGAAAATGAAACATTTGTCACTTGGTTATTAGGACTTCTTTCTGAAAACACAAAAAAATACAACCATTTTATTATTTCTAAATTCAGATAATTACAAATGTCTCAGATAAAACAGTATTTTAAAACATTTTCATTAACAGCCCATTAACAGTCCATGTAAAATCCACGTAAATAAGTAAAGAATCATGATTTCATTCCCAGCACTAACTAGGGAAGGTTAAATGGGGAAAATATTGATGAGTTAGTAAAAAGTTTAAATTATTTCCGAAGCTAGCTTAAAATCAAGTTGTCATAATTCTACTATTAGTAATATGTGGCAATAATTATACTCTTTTCGCCCCAGTGCATCAGTAAACTCAAGAGGGATACAATTATACCTACTGCAGGCAAACCACTACTCAGATTAATCTGGGTTTTGATCATCTCCAGTTTATCCCGTGTATATCTTGTCTGTATACAGCTGTTTGCGTGTTGTCTCCTTCATTAGACTGTGAGCTCCTAAAGAACCTTTCTTTGTATCACCAGTACTGAGCACAATGCCTGGAACACAGTGGGCGCTTAATAAATGTTTACTAACTGAATGACTGAATGACATAAACCCATCCACAGCAATGCAAGGAACGAAAAAACTTTAGCAACTTGACAGTTAGATCTTACCTGTCAGAACAAGGCACAATTGTTGGTTTCCACTGCAGTCCACAGGAATGCATTTTTTGCCAAGGAAAACGCGATGCACATTCTGTGTCTCCAAGTCCCACAGGACAACTGTCCAGCCTGTACTTTCTACTAACCATGTAAAAAGCACAGTGAATCCTGTCACAGACACACATTTGAGCTTTACTGGCTCCTCCTGTTCTTCAATGGGCATTACCTTCCACAACTTCTTTAAATCATCTGACCTAATATGATCCTTCCATGGGCGGCTGTACTGGACACGAGTTAGGTCTTGTGGAATGAAGGTACAAATCTCTTCCAGTGCAATGTGGCTACCAGATTCAGAGAGGTCAAAATGAAGAAGACCCTGGAACCAAGGCACACAATTCACAACTTCTAATCTGGGCTTTGTTGTTGAGTTGTACAATTCTGACAGTTGAGTTTTCCAGGATCTGGGAAAAGAAAGGAAGAAACTCTTTTCTATTACAATTAAGAATCACCGAGCAAAACAATCAACATTCCTTTCTTTAAAAAGAGGTAGCATGGCACAGTGGACTGTTTTAGCCAGCCTTGGAGTCAGGAATGTCTGTGTTCCACTCCTGTTATTTACATACTAGCTATGTGACCATGGACAAGTTGTTTCACCTCTCTATGTCCAAGGCAACTCACTAAGCCTTTAAGTTGCAGAGAAGGTGCTAACCGGCATAGGTGGAGGGAATTTCCTTACCAAGGAGCTTCCTATACCAGTGAAATCCCAAATCCAGTCAGGGCAGCTAGATGGCACAGTAGATAGAGCACTAGCCCTGGAGTCAGGAGGACCTGAGTTCAAATCCAGCCTCAGACCAAACACTTGACACTTACTAGCTGTGTGACCCTGGGTGAGTCACTTAACCCCAATTGCCTTTAAAAAAAAAAAAAAGAAAGAAAGAAAAAGAAATCCCAGACTCAGTTCCTAGTCCACACACTCTTTAAAAGACCCTTTTTTGGGGCAGCTAGGTGGCACAGTGGATAGAGCACCAGCCCTGAAGTCAGGAGGACCTGGGTTCAAATCCAGTCTCAGACCAAATACTTGACACTTGCTAGCTGTGTGACCCTGGGCAAGTCACTTAACCCCAACTGCCTAAAAAATAAATAAATAAATAAATAATAAAAGACCCTTTTCTTCTTCCACTAAATCTCTCCTCCAATGCAGCTGTTCTCCAATGTAGAAATGAACATGGTAGAAATAGGGATTGCCTTTCACTGAATGCCTCCCTGTGGCATGAAGGAGACCCTGCATTCCTGCAGGTGATGCCAGTGAAGCATGACTGTTGGCAAGTCCTGCGCCAAGCTGGAAAGACCTCATCTGAACATGGGCCTGGGGACGGATAGAAAGATAAAATATGAGAGATGAGGCGAGCTAAGTTGAGAAAGATTTATCACTAGAAAGTTGGCCAGCAAAGGATGAACTTTTTGGATTACAGCAACTTAAAAACTAACTCTTAAGGCATGAAGAAGGTGCCCCCTGCATGGGGGGGTGAGGGTTGCGTGTGACCACACCAACAATATCATGGATCTTCTGAAATTAAAAACCCTTGTTCTGAGATGGTCCTTCAGAGAAAAGGTACTCCATCAATCAAACAAATCATGGGATCTCACACCTGGAAGAGACCCCCCAAGATTACCTAGTCCAACTCTGCCTGAGGCAGGAACTGACTCTATGAGAAGCTGACAAGCTGCCATCAAAGTATTTATTCCAAGACCCTCATCAGAGATAGGAAAGTTCCTATTTCACTTGTGCACAGCTCTAGTTATTAGGAAGTTTACCCTTACTTGGAGTCAAAGTGTGCTTCTCATACTTTGGGCTTGTATCCCCGGGGCCCAGAAGAGTGTCTGGCACATAGTAAGTACTTAATAAATCCTTGTTGATTGATCTGTAACTTCTACTCATTAGTCCTAGGCTACTGTCCTGGAAGGCCAAGAAAAACAATCCTTTTTTCATATGACAGCCTTTTGAAAATCTGAAGACATATCACGTATTCTCTAAGTCTTTTCTTCTCCAGACTAACGCATTGATTGGTTTTGGTGCTTTTATTTTTCTTCTTCCTTTTTATTTTTTTCTTTTAAAAAAATCCTTGTTATCTGAGGTGGTTCTCTGGGAAGGGAATAGGGAAGGATACAACAGGAAATTTAGGCTATGTCAAAACAAAATATGAATTTAAAAAAAAAGTTTCCCTACATACCTATCCACCTGGAATGAAAACCTGGTCAGTTTCACATTGTAGACTGAGTTGGCGGGGTCATCTTCATCCACTCCTTCAAGTCCTCTGATGGGAAGATTTTTTAGCTTCCTCTCACACAGGATATGCTCTGGATGTTGCCTACATTTTAAAACATAGTAACAGTCATTGTGTAAAAGTGATAATGCTTACAATGAACGTAATGATAAATATTCTTCCATTTGTTTTCCATTCACAAAGTCATGCCACTATTATTTCCATAAAAGTGGTAAATCAAAGGGAATGCCATGATGACTAATTTTCCTTAGATGAGCCTACTGAGTCCTGTAGCTACAGTACAATACTAAGAAAGTCAAGGTTATAAGTTTGATTTCTTAGAAAAATACCGTTTCATGTCAACAAATTGAATCCTAATATTACCAACTATTAGTTTCATTTCACAAATGTGTACCAGTGACAATGAAGCTATGACTAGGCAGACAATTCAGCCCAAATGCATAAAGGCCCATTATTACAGGTATAACAATTCATAGCCAAAGTCCTTAAAAACCATGAGTCAGGTCAGTTGACATCAATGAATGAGAAAGTACCTACTGAGCATTACAATTTATTCTACATTACTAGAGGTGCTGTTGGTAATACAGTAGTAAAAGTAGCAAAAGACGAATTTGGCCCAGCTAAGCAAGGTTTTAAAATTACATTTCTTGTGTATCTACCAGAGGCTTTGAGCTTATACTAAACACATGCAACAACACAAAATAAAGATCAATATATTATAGACAGGGTCTTCTGGCATCAAAAATGTATACATATATAAAAAAGCCATACTCTCAATGGACCTCTGCATGTTGTGTCCTTGGTAGCTGTTTACTTTGCCTATCCTTAGTCCTGGCTCTGTAAAACATGATCTCAAGGCACTAGATGAGATCAGTCCAAAGCACATGAAAAAAAAAAGAGAGAACAATTTGAGATCCTAAATAATTAAATGCTGAGTTTATGGTTCTCACTATGCCATAAGATTCCAAGGAATGATTTTGGAAATTTTGAGCTGAAAGAGAACCCAGATTCAGGGAAGGCCTTAGAAAATGGAAACTGAGCTGGGTTTGAAGGAGAAGTAGGAGTTGGGCAGGCAAGGTAGCAATAAGAAGGTACAACAGGCAAGGGAAACATAAGCAAAAACCCAGAGGTGAAAACTTTAAATACTGTTTGAAGTTTCATATCAGTATCTGATTTAACATAGTTTTATATTAGGTATTTAAACTTCTGTGCATCTTAAAAAAACAAACAACAATGTGCTAATTAACTCCTAGTCATACACAATTGTGAAGATGTGAAGAGGCAGCATTTTGCAAATAACTTGAGATTGAGACAGCATGGTATAAAGGAAAAAGCATTAGACTAGGAATTAGGATACCTGGGGTCTAGTCCTGCCTCTACTACTGCTTGGTGACTTCTGCTAAGTCACTGAATTTCTCTAGGCTTTGGTTTCGTCATTTATAAATATGGGGGTTGGATGAGATTGTTAAGGTCCCACTCAGCCTTTAACCATGTGAAGATGAAACAAAAAAGAACAAATAAAACACCCTCATGTCCCTATTTAAGTCTTTTTCAATCCATTTGCTAAAGCAATTAAAGGGTTGAAACAACAGAACTCAGTGTACCTGCCCTCTCCACCAACATGGTTTGCTTCCCAAGGCTGACTCAGGCTTGACTAAGTACATCGAGTGTATATGTTCCAGCCCAGATCAGAAATCCACCTCTCTATAGAGGTGTATGACTTACAAATGTGCTTATCAACCCTGCCCAGCTGCAAAACATTAAAATCCATTTAAAGTAAATGGAAATGTCAATGATTTTAAAAGTTCTAATAGCCACATGAAAATGAATTTCTTTGAATTTATGATAATCACCAAAAAAACACTTGGGCTTCAAAAATAAGTTACAAAGGCAAAAAAACTAGTTCTTAACTGGGTCAGGTTTTAATTACACTGTCCACCTTAAAGAAGAGCTGATCATATTTTAAGTGCTTGACAGCCTAAAAGTTTAACCTCCCAATCTAATGTTTCTGTATATGGACATAGACGTGCGCGTGTGCACAAACACACGAACACACACACACACACACACACACACACACACACACACAAGATCAGTGAGCTCAACAGTTTGGACCCTCCCTCTCACATGCCATAACTCCTCTGTGTCTTAGGAGATAGTTTCCTTAACCAGTCAGCAAGCATGTATTAAGCACCTACTATGTATAAAGCACCATACCAGGTGCTGGGAATGCAAACACAAAAGCGAGACAGTCCCTGGCAGCAAGGAGCTTACATTCAAAAGTTCTGTCTTAGACATGGTGAATCTGAAATACCTACAGACAAACTGTTCACAAAATTTCCAATACACAACTGGAGATGTGAGATTGGGGCTCACAGAGAAACTAGGGCTGGCTATCTAGACCAAGGGGTCTTCTGCATGAGCCCATGGGAGGTGATAAGGTCTCCAAGAGAGATTATAGAGAAAGAAGAGAATGGGGCATAGGACAGAGCCTAGGAAGACATGCAGGGTCAGTGGGGTGACATAAATGAAAATCCAGCAAAGGAGACTGAAAAGGAGCAGTTAAGACAAGGAGGAGGAAGAGGAGAACTGAGAGTGGGTGACAGAGTGAGAAAGAGAGAAAGAGAGAGAGAGAGAGAGAGAGAGAGAGAGAGAGAGAGAGAGAGAGAGAGAGAAAGGGAGAAAAGTACCATAAAAACACACTGAAGACAAAGCATCTAGGAGGAGAAGGTGCTCAAGACTGCCAAATGCTAAAGAGAGTCAAGAAGGATGGGGACTGAGGAAGGGCCATTAGACTTTGTATTGAACAAGTCATGAATAACTTTGGAGAGAGCACTTCCAGCTGAATAATAACGTCTGAAGCCAGACTGCAGAGACTTTAGAAGAAAGTGAAAGGACAGGAAGTAGAGGCACCAGGTGTAGACGGCTTTTTTCAAGGCCTTTAGCTGAGAAGGTGAAGATAAAATATGAAAATATCTAATAATAAGAGCCAGGATTTATATAGCACTTTAAGGTTTGCAAAGCTCTGCACAGAAGTCATCTCATCTGATTGATAAATAGTGGGGACAGTAGGATCTAATTAGGTTTTTTCAAGAATGAGATAGATGGAGGTATGCCTGTGGGAAGCAGGAAGGGAAACAGTAGAGAGGGGATGACAGATGAGCAATCTTTGACTGGAGGGGAAGGGATCAATGGCACATGTAGAAGCCCTCTTCATCAAACACTTGAGAGGGGGTAGTGGGAGATGATGTCAGGGCTAAAAGGAAGGGGGGTGGGAGATGAAAAGGAGAAAAGGAAGCTCACAACTAATGGCCTAAGAATCTGCTCACTCTTTTAACTTGCCATAAATTTGGGCCTTTCAAAAAATGTATTTTTACACTTACTAGGTGTGTGACCCTGGGCAAGTCACTTAACCCCAACTGCCTCACCAAAAACAAAACAAAACATATATAAATATATATTTGGGGGGGGGGGACCATCAATAGGATCTATTTCTAAGTGTAGCTCTCACAATGTGTCATGAAAGAAAAGTAATCTCTGATGGAGACACCCTAAAACCATGTAATCAGATATGCAAATAAGCACTTATGTTCTGGCCAGATCACTGCAGAACTAACTGGGTCAGCTAAGTAGGGCTCCATCACTGTACTGGGGGCAGTAATAACTGTAAACAGCAATAACTGGTAAAACCTGTCATTTTTTCTCTATCTTTCACCTTTGCGAAAGGCCAGACAGGCAGGGGGAGGGGAGGGGATAGAGGTGTGTGGTACAGTTAAAAAAAAAAACAAAACAACCCTCTACATTAATGAAAACAGAGATGAGAGTCAAAACCTTTATTTGCACTGAAAAAATAAACAGGTGGTAATCAGAGTTCCTGTTTCACACATCACAAACACAATTCTGCATCGTAGTAACTGGTATATGAACTGACTCAATGAAATAGGTAAATTGTTCAGAAAAAAAGTTGAACTTAAATCAGTCTTGCTGCCTCAACTGAATTAATCCATGGCTGCAATTACTTGACTTCCAAAAAGACTGGAAAATCTGAGCAATGTACAGGCCTGAATTATTTGCATTTATGACCAGAAAAGGAGATGGTCCAGTCATATATCAGGAGTAAGGGAGAGCCCAAGAGAAGCCCTGGTGTCTACAAAATATTAAAAGATTCTGCAGAAGGCACCTATCATAGTAAGAGGATCTTTTACTAAAGATTTACAGAAAGGCATGGGTGAAGAGTCACAAAGGATAAAAAGTCCCTGAGGGTTTGTGACGTGCACTAGCAAGAGAAGTGCCCAGCCCAGACGCACTGAGATGCAGAAGCTAAATTAAATCAAATCAATCTGCGCTGACCTTACAGCATCTAAGACTGCAACGTGCCTCAAAACGGTCTAGGAAATCTTAATCCACCTACCTGAAATAGACGTTTAAGTCAACAGCAATCGTAGCACTAGAGCAGCTGATAACCACAACCACATCCAGCTCCTGAGACACCTTCAAGGTAGTAAATGAAGACACGTCGGCTGGTTGCTGTCGCTCCTCCCCACACATATCAGCCTGATCCTGGTGAAGGGTTAGATCCACACGAGCAAGATATGTGCCATCTACAGCATCAAAAACGTCTTTGGGCCCCAGTTAAAGAAAATACCTGCTTGAAATCTAATTAACCATCCAAAACACAAGATGCAATGAAGCTACACAATGACATTCACTGATGATGGCAGAAAGACAGACAGCAGGACAATGACATGGAGATAGGAGTTAGTAAGAAATATGATATATTGGTGACATTCTCCATTAATATTCAACTACTTAATAATAAGAATGAGGTTAACCCCAGCATGTTATAACATCTTTTAAAAATCAGTTTGGATACAAACAAGTATAACTAAAGCATAAAAATAATTTCCAGAATTCAGAAAATCAATCACAAATTTATGCAGGCAGAAAGAACACCATTTTTATGAAAGTTCAATATAGTTTTGCTAATAGCCTATAGATCTGCTGTAGAGAGCACTACCTTGCAATTACCTCAAAAGCTTAAGAAAATGAACCACCTTTCAGAATATTCTTGCTCCTTACTATTCAAAGGCTGTTTCCATTAACAAGGATACAGATCCAACCAGAACCATCCAAAACAAAAAGAAACCCTCTGCAAAGCTGTGAATCAGCTATCCTTTCCAAAGCCTGTGCAGGTAAGGCCAGAGTGAAGCAGCTGAGGGTTTTGACCTCAGCATCTCTCCCAGGAAATGCAATGTGTAGGACAATATATCTGTTGATGAGCAGCACTGATGAGGCATTTTGAAATGACAGAATTCTCAGGCATGATAAAGAAGAAGTTCCTGAAAAACAGGAAGTTATCGATTCAAACTCAATTTCCAAGTTCAGTAACATTCTGATTTTGTGGCTGGGGGGGGGGGGTGAGCCCCCTCGTGAAAAAAACAAAACAAATTTTATGACAACTCTACTTAGACCAGAAGTTTGATTCAGATTTCACTCATTTGAGACAAATTAAATATCTACATTCATCATGTCAATTTGGCAGAGAGGACTGAGCGTTGGACTTGCACTCAGGAACCTCTGAGTCTGAACCCTCCTCAGCTATTTGCTAGCTATATGACCCTGGGTAAATCATCTAACCTCTCTCAGGCTCAGTTTCCTCATCTGTAAAATGAGGGTAATAATAACAGCACTTAACTCACAGAGTTGTTGTGAGGATCAAATGAGATAAGTAAAGTGCTTTGCAAAATTTAAAAGTGCCATATTAAATAGTCACTTTTATATCAGTGTTTATGTATTTGGTCACTATCATCATTATTACTTTTTTTTTTTTAAAGGAAATGGGATTAAGTGACTTGCCCAGGGTCACACTGCTAGTAAGTGTCAAGTGTCTGAGGACAGATCTGAACTCAAGTTCTGACTCCAGGATCGGTGCTCTATTCGCCTCCTAGCTGCCCCTACTATCATTATTATTACTGTCATTCAGTGGTCATGAATTTGGAGAAGACAACAGGGAGTAACAAAGTACTCTTCACCCTTACTTACAACTATAATCTAATACCTTGGCAGCAGGGGCTATCCGCTCCTACAGCAACACAGAAGCAATCATAGAATTTGTTTTAGAGTTAGAAAGAATTTTAGAGATCTGGAAAGTAAACATATTATTACCTTTAAACAATTATCTGCTAAATGTCTTCATTTATTAGTTTTTCTGCTCATAACAGGTCTCAACTTCTCTACAGATCATAAATTTAAACATCAAATGAAGTCTTACATATGAGGAAACTGAGACCCAGAAAAAAATAAGTGACTTGCCCAAGGTCACACAAGCAGTAAGTAGTGGAGTTAAGATGTGAACCTAAGGGCAACATGGTGCAATGGAAAGAGTATTTGGAATAAGAGGATGTAGGTTCAAATCCCCCTTGTTCTCAGTAAGTTGTAACAAGAGTGCTTTAAAGTTTACAAAATATTTTTTCTCACAAAAAACCTGGTGGGTAGTATAAACATCATTAACTCCATTTTACAGGTGAGGAAAACGAGCCTCAGAGACATAAAGTAACTTGTTGTGGTCACATCGTCTAAGTGCTATGATTTTGAACTCAGGTCTCATTCAGTGAAACTTAGCACTTTTGCTATTCCATCAAAAATGCCTGTCCTCAGCGCGCTAGTTTCTGCTCTAGGCAGTAATCTATCTCGACCAAGGCTAACAACTCCACTACTGGTATCAGAAGAGCCTCTCCCACTGGTCCCACTCCCACTTGCTGGTAGCACTGAGCACACTCATAACTGTAAAGTATAAAATGTCATAAATTTACATATGCATTGATACAGAGCCAGTACATACTTACTGATGTTTTTGTCTTCAATTAGCTTTTTTAACATCTCCCCACTGCAGCTACACAATGTAGTGATATCACATTTTCCATCCTTCATCTTGAACTCATGGACACACAGTTCATTATTATCACTGAGGGTCAGAAGTTTAGGCCTGTCTGTTCGTGGGTCACTGGTTTGGGAATTCTCCCAAATAAAGCTAAAGAAAACCATAGCAAGCTGAGTTTACTTACTGAACCTGTTAACAACAGTTGTTAAGGGGAGGGGTGAGGGAAAGAGGAAGAAGGGCTATGGATCACAGAGAATAGCTTCCTAAGCTTTAATTCTACTACCCATCTTTGAGAGATCAAGATAATGAAATATATGGTATCCAGCAATGATACTGCCATTAAAAATAAATCCATACTAATAAAAAGTTCTAATGTAATGAATACAATGAAATGATGAGTCTAGCATACTGATAAATCTCATCTTCATTTGCCAGATAGCACATTCTCCAAAACACAGCATGAATGTTAAGACTGGATTCAGACTTTTAAAATTTTCATTTGTTGCTTCTCCGTTAAGACTTTTTTTTAGATATATACATTTTTATATGACTGTTACCTCCACCAAAGTCCTCCTCTCGGAGCTCACAAGCTCTATCTAGCAGGTCCTACTAAGTTAGAAAGACTTAAAGAATGATCCTGTGAGAAAACCTCTGAAGCTTATAGCTCTTGGATTAATCGCCGGTGATGAATTTTTTTTTGCCTACAGGAACCCATATTGATTGTTTATTTAAAATATAGATGAGTCAACTCTAGGTGTGTGGAAGCAATACTGGCTAAATCTGTGTGGATGAAAGGAATAATGACAGACCTGTGAAATATTTGTTGCTACATCTGGATGAATGGTTCATTATTATAAAGTCTTGTTCTTAATTCCACCCTTCCCTAGCCCTTCTCCTACTCTGAGAAAGCATTTTCTGCCACGGTGCTATATTTATATAAGGTGCCTAGCTCTATAGTTATTTCCCTTTCAGTTAATTATAAGCCTCGAAATAGTACAAAAAATAAATTCTTGTTGAAGGAATGAATGAAAGAAATTTGGACCATAAACCAGACTCCCCTCTTCAGAACTGGGAATAAGTAAATAAGTGAGCTGCCCAATAACAAAGCAATTTCAAAGGTGGCATTTGGAGCCTAGGTCTTCATGACTCTGCACAACTCTATACCTATTTATGAATGAACTGACAAGTAAATTACATATTAAAAGGGACAAGATGATCATTAAATATAAAGCATTTTGGCATTTAAAAATGGAAACTGGCTAATATGGGGAGGGAGAAGAAACAGAAAGCAAACATAGATCGTTTAACACGGTTGAAAATTACTTTTTATACATTTAAAACTTTATTCTCTGTTAGTATTTCACTATAGGACAGTGGAGAATGCCCTGGTTCTGGAGTAAAAGAACCAACGTGCCCCATTAGAGCATAAACTTCTTGAGGGCAGGACCTATTTTCCTATTTGTATCTAGAGTACTTGAGTAGTACTTAAGTCGTATAGGTGTTCAATCAACGCTTAGCAACAGAATTAAATCTGTGCTTCTGGGGGAACTTCTTTAGGCCTTCTTGCAATATGACTCACAAAGAGCAGGAAGAGCAAGAATCCCTGAAACCACCAGAAGAAAAAAAAAAGGTTCCACTCGAGCCCCACTCCCCCCAGAAGAGTAAAAGTTTGAAGGTGCGGGTCAGTGGAGGACAAGGTGTGTGTTGGGGGGGGAGGGGCTGTCCCAGGGCGCCTACAGCATTCAGCACCGCTTCCTGGCACTGAATCTATCTACAAGCATTTATTTGGCGCCTCCGGTGTAGCAATCCCTTCCCTCAAAGAGCTTCCATTCTGTCTATCCAGGTGGAAGTCTCGAGTCAAGGCACCTGGAAGGTTTCGGGTGGGGTCTCTGGGCCAAGGGTCTGGAGGGAGGCAGCGAGACGGGCCTGGGGTCCCCAACTTACTGCCGGAAGGGGCCCGCGAGGCTGCAGCCACTCTCGCCCCGGCCGCCCGGCGCCAGCGACAAAAGCTGCAGGCTGCCCGAGGCCGTGAGGCTGCCCAGCGCCTCTTGCTCTCGGTGCAGCCGGGCCCGGGGCCCCAGCCTCGCTCTGGCCTCGGCGGGAACCGGCACCAACAACATAGGCAGCACCCTCTCCATAGCCCCGGTCGAGGGAGCGCCACCGTCGCATCCACTTCCGGCCCCCTCTTGCGCCGCCATCTTGCTAAAGTAACTCCCTTCCCTTCCAGTCAGCTGAGACCCGCGTGCCGGCCTGGAAACTCGCTCGCCAGCCTCGGCAAAGTGAGCATGCGCAGTAGCGCGACAGGCTCCATTTTAGGCCCACCCTTTTTTTTTTTTTTTTTTTTGTATGTGTGTGTGTGTGTAAACGGGCGTTTTCCTGGAACTTGGGCTGAGGCATCTAAGAGAGACCGCCTTTAGCTCCGGGCCGCTTCCTTTGGAATCTAGCGTCCCGGGCTTTGTAGACCGACGGTGTCAGGTGACCAACCCGCTGGTCACAGGAGCCAAGTGACATAGGTCTGGAGCAAGTGGCCTGGAAAGATCCGAATTTTCAGTCTCCAAGCTTCTTTCTTAATTTGAAGAATGGGGACCATAAGAGCCCCTAGCTCTCCTGCTGGTAATTAGATCAAATCAGATAACGTGATTTTTTTTTTTCAGATTTTCAGTCGTGTCTGACTCCTTGTGACCGCATTTGGGGTTTTTTCGGCAGATACTAGAGTGATTTGCCATCTCCTTCTCCGGCTCCTTTTACAGGGGAGGAAACCGAGGCAAACGGGGATAGGTGTCTTGCCCAGAGTCACACAGCTAGAAGGGGTCGGAGGCCGAATTTGAACTCATGAAGATGAGTTTTCCTGACTCCAGGCCCAGCAACACCTAGCTGCCCTTAGATAACACGTGAAGCACTTTGTAAACCTTCATTATTCTTAGCTGAAGACAACACAGCTTAAAAAGGGACTGCTCTATGTGTGCAGGAGAACAGTACCAGAGCAGAAGTGATGCAAAAGATGGGAGTAGTAGCAGAAATTTGAGTTCAGGTCCTCCAATTCCAAATCTTGTATTTTTTTCTATTAAAATATGGAGTCAGAGGACCTGGCATCTACCACTTGTACAACTCTGAGAAAGTCACCTGGGAAAGGGCTGAGCTAAGGTACTTTGACTATTTTTTAAAAAGGGGCTTCTAAGATTACTTTCAGTTCCAAACTCTGTGATGGAAAAAGATCACAGAAAATGGTAAAAATTTGCTCAGAAGAATTACTTTGAACCTTTGCTAGACACTTGATCTTGCTCCATATGTATGTATGTTGTAGTACTTTTACCTAATGGTAAGCTCCACAAGGGGAGGGACCACAATGTACTGACTTTTCCATTGCCCCAACCACCCAACTCAGTTTCTGGTCTCCAATGCAGGTTTTTTCTGCCAAAATCATTGGTGACAGATGAACATTTACTGTTAAATAACATGGGTAAGATATAAGATTGTAAATAGTTCAAGGATATAGATGGCCCTAAAAAAGTATGTTAAACACGACTACAAAATGTCAAATTTAAAATGGAAATAGGATAAAGTCTTTGAAGAGGTTTGTCAGCAAATGTGAGGAGAAAGAAAAACAGGCAAAGTAGACAAACAGAATAAAGACACAGGTTACAAGGGTGATAAATCAGGTCAAAGGGTATTAGTTGGGTAGTGTAGGTGTTCAAATTAGCAAAGATGAGAACAGGAAAGAAATAGAACAGTTTTCCCTTAATTTCTATTTTAGTTTCCAGGTGTTTTTTTAAAAAAATATATGTATGTATACACATGTACACACACACATATATACACACATACACATATATATGGCATGTCATTCATTCTACAATGGGCTTCACTAGTTAGGTTAAATAGGATTGGTATAAATACACCAACCTGTGTCCTAACATCCAATCCCTCCTGAGAGAATATCAGCAATGTATTGGGATATCTAGTGCATTTGCAGACCCACCCAACCCCCATTACACTCTCCAGAGCATCTTCCAGAACTCTTCCCAGTGTCTTCCATGTGAAGGTTACATCAGCCAGGTAAGCTGTGGAGGTCTGGATGAGAGAGACTCCCATTACACTCAATTTGAATTAAGTTTTTCTTCCAGGGAGTTGAAAGGGCAGTATAGTGTAGAGATTGCAACTTCATTCACCACCATAATCCCTGAAGAATTAAAGTTATAGGTGACCCAGAAGACAGCAAAGAGATGCACGGCAGATATCAGGCTTCAGAATACTACAAACAATAACTTGAGCAGATGTCATATAAAAGGTATTTAAGAAAGATATTGTTGAAAAAGGGTGGGGGCAGGCATCAGTTCGGTAACAAAGGATAAAATGGATGGACAGCTAAGTGCTTCACTGCCTCCTGAAGACATAACAAAACATAAAAGGAAGGCTTTGAGACCACTGGGTAATGACTCTTTGGAAGACTTTATGGACAGAATTATACAAGATAAGGTATAAATGAGTTAAAATACTCATACTTAATGAAACCAGAGTTATCAGAGTAAAGAGGGAAGGATGGCCCTTTAAATAAATAGAGGTAGTTAGGTGGTATACTCCAGTCAGAAAGACGAGAATTCAAATCTGGCCTTAGACACTGGATTTAACCTCCTGCCTCAGTTTTCTCATCTGTAAAAAGGAAATAATAGTACCTACCTCCTAGGAGTAACAATTAGCAGTTGTGACAAAGTGTTTTGCAAACCTTAAAGCACTGTGTAAATGTTAGCTCTTGTTAATAAAAGATATTTGGTAGAAGGCAGGGAGAAATTCTTCCATCCCATTGTTCATTTAATAAAAAAAACAAAAACTTCAGGATCCTAGGATCTATGTTATTCATCCAATCATTTTACCCATTTTATGGTTGTAAGGGAAATGACCTCTCTATGAATGAGAAAAGGCTCATAGTTAGAGCTATTAGATGATTACTGAGAAAAATACTTCATTTTGTTATCTGACAGGACACATAGCATTCCTGCTATATTGAGAGAGACTCCTTTACTATTATTACATTCCCATTTATTTAGCAAAAACATCTATTCCTTTTGTCCCTAGTAAAGATGTTTAGCAGAAGGGAAAGGGAAGAAGCTATTTTTGGAAATGGGAAGGCAAGATGTGACCTTTATCAAAGCAATAGTTCAGCACCCACTTGTTCCAGTTTTATATGAGCACTTTAATTTAAATCATGCACTGCCCAGCCCTCCCTTCCTGAAGGTTCTAGGTTTCTGCACTCATTAGGAGAAGGGTAAAGAAACCTGGGGTCCCCATTGCAATTACTGAGGAAAATCAAAAAAGCCTTCATGTGTGCTAAGAGCACAGCTCCTTCAGTGAATTTTCCCTTCTTCTACTTCAGCCCTAACAGACTGGTATGTAGGTGGGGGGCAGGATAATTTTCCCAAACAAGTCAGGTCGGTAGCCACAGGGGCATAGCTGCAAAACACAAAAACAAAACCAGCTGTAAACAGTCTTTGGTCTATGAACTCAAATTTTGGAACAACCATAAGAACCCTAAATGCAGTTTACATAAACTTCTTAGAAGATTAAATTCCTGGGAGGCAAAAGTTAGATCTTTAACACATATACTAAGTGTCTGGGATCCCTGCCAGAACCAAATAAAATGAAATGCCTGCCAACTCAAGAAACCACTCAGGAAGAGTGATGCCTGTGGTTTAAGTATCTTCCTACTGTCGTGTTCTAGTTTGGAGGACAATGGAAACAGAATAGGACAGAGGTAGAAGAACTGAGATACTGTGCTCTGGAACTCTACCCCAAAGCCAAGTGTCCCCAACTCCTATTAAACAGAGCAATGAGAGTATGGAGGGAAATGAAATATTAACTGGGACGAGGCTTAAACAAGGGTTATTATGGTCTCTTCATTCCCCACTTACTCCATTCTGGCTTCCAATTGGTGTACTATTTGTTTGTCCACATAACGGCAGAACAGGGAGAGGAGGTTGCTGGGGACAACAAGTGGCTCTGCCAGAGAAGCGGTGGACATGTGGGATATCTCCCAGGCAATCAGAACCACCATGTCTGTCCTACAGAGGAAAGAAAGCTCAAAGTAAGGCAGGGATAACCAAAGCCTGGTGTATTTGGAGAACAAGAAGGGAACAAGCCTTTACCACCCATTCAGTCAAAGAAAATTCCAAGTTCTCAGGTGCCGACAGGTACCTTAAGACCCCCGTCTACTCTTAGTATCTTAGCTACAACAAAACAGACCTTACTGAACAGAAGGGACCACCAGTTATTAATATTCTTGAGGTACTAAAGATAAACTACCTTGAGCTCACTCGTATCTCTTCCCTTCTTTACCCAGACTAGAGAATGTAAGCAGGAAAAATCTTATCCAACAGCACAAAGGTAATGTAGTGATGCTAGAGAAGCAGGGCTATCTGAATGCTTTCTCACCAAGCTGCAAGATCGCTGCTGCTGTGTTGCTTCAGGGAACAATTCAAGGACACCAGCTGCTCCCCGTGGCTCAGAAGTGAATAGAGCAAGGAGATCCCAAACTATAAAAAATGGAGCACAGGGCAAGAAATAACATTGGGTATTCGGTGGCTCCCAAGGCCTTGCTTCCCTCACCTAATTCAAGGAAAGTTTTCTCTGTAGTGAAATTTAACCTCTATGGGAATAGTCAGGATTTTACATGGACTGGAGAAGTTCTGATCTTTTCTTCCAAGAGGTCTAGATAATAATAGCTATAGTTCCTTAAGGCTTGCAAAGCACTTTATAAATATCTCATTTTATCCTCACAACCACCCTTGTCGGTAGGTGCTATTGTTCCCATTTTGCAGATGAGGAAATTCAAACAGAATGCCCTGCCCAGGGTCACACTGCTAGTAAGTGTGGCTGGAATGCAGAGAAGATTTGTGGAAAGGACTTAGAGGACATGCCTTTCTATTATAAGTATCCCATTTGTGACCACACTGCCTGGAGCACTGAGGTATTCACTTAAATGAGATGTAGTCACCGAAATTAGAAATGACCTATGTTCAAGCAAGTCTCTTTGGCCTTATGGGCCACAATACCTGGTTCTGAAGGACTACAGTGATTGGCCGCTCTTGGGATCCAGGTTGTAGCACCATCAGTCCCTGAAGCCCTTGGAGAAGCTCACTAAAGGCTAAGAGATTGATGCACTTTCCCATGGGCTTGAACAGCATACATAGGGCCTATAGGTAAG